TGCAGCGCACGCCGGTGGCAGGCGCGGGGGCAGCGGGCGGCGGCTGGGCTAACGCGTCCCTGCAGGCTTGCCAGCAGAAGCTCCGCCTGCAGTCGCTGCAGATGGAACGCGAGCGGCTCAAGCAACGCCAGCAGGAGATCATGCTCCAGGTAAACTTTGGCTGTTTACCATTTATATGTTTCTATCATTGGAAGACTTGGGCTTTGAGTGATGTAAAGTTTGAATCTTGTAATACCCAAAAGTTAAAACATTACGCAATAATTAAAACTCCTGTTTGGTAGACATTCTTCTTCTTCTTGAAATTGTCAAGTTCAAAGTCAAGTCAAGTAAAAGAGTGAATGATGAAAATCTAAATTACAATGATTACGGCATGATGACATAATTGATAAACCATTTTGGTTCTATCACGATATAAAGAGATATAGTGATAGTAACAGATATACAGTGATAGTGAGCGTCTAAATACACCCGGACACTCACTCGCATACCGCCCGACTATGACGTAGGTTCATTTTATTTTTAACATTACATTTTTATTATGTTTTAACTGGGACATCATAAGAACACAGTTTACTATAATTTAGATATAAATAATGTTGAAAAATCTCTCACGTCTTTTAATTAATTCGAGGTAGACGGAAATAGTTTTCAGTTTATTCGTCGAAAGCATGGATTAGGTTCTTTAAGGAGAAAAGGATAAAAAAAGTTGAGAAAAAACACAATCGGATTTTAAATTCATTTAATATTTATTTTATGTAAACATTATCTCTTATTACAAATTATATCCGTTCACAAAAACCTATCTTACCGTGAACGGTAATACGCGACGGAATTACAATATAACATATGCTCAAGATGCATGAAAATTTCTCCAGCAAGAGTTAATGGGCCGGCAATCGAGCTCGATCGTGTCGTCGCTGGCGAGCGGCGGCGCGGGCGCTGCGGGGGTGCCGGGGGCGGGCGGGGGCGCGGCCGCAGACCTCGACCCCTTCCTGTCCGGTCTGACTGAGCACCAGCGCCAGGAGTCTGCCGACAGCGGCCTGGGCATGGCCGTCAACCCCTCCTACTCCATGCCGCACACACCCGAGGACTTCCTGGCCGGCATGGATGACCGCATGGACTGCACTAGCGAGGCGGGCGCTATCGACCCTGACATCTCGCTCGGCGACAATATTGACCCCACCGACGACCTGGTGCCTTCACTACAGGTAACGTATTGCTGTTCATATTTGTCTTTGTAGGAAGGCTACAAAAACGCCTTTCGTTCGCCTTCGAAACTAATATTATAAAAAGGAAAGATTTGTATTTTTATATGTATTGAAAAAACTCAAGAACTACTGGGCCGATTACAAATAATCTTTCACCATTAAAAAGCTACGTTATCTGGCCATATTTTTTAAATTGACGCGACCGAAGTCGGTAGCAACAGTTAGTGTTTAATATGTTTAATTTGAAAAAGAATTTGATATTTATAACTGTGGGCAGATTAAAATACCTTAACTTAAGCATTATGTATCATTTCGGCGTGTTTTGATAATTTATTTTCTAACAAGGAACAAATGTTGAAACAGATCAGTTCATTGTAAGACCACTATTAGCTGCAGACACCTAACAATCGGATATAACCTAAAATGACATAATTTTTTTTAATATTTTCAGTTGAGCGAATTCACCAACGACATATTACTGGACGACGTACAATCCCTGATCAACTCGACGCCGAGCAAGACGGACAACGTGCTCACCTGGCTCTAGATCTGACTCTAGACATGGGCCGGGGACCTACTTAGTTATAATACTGTTAATTTAGTACTTACCGCTTATGCTAATTTCACACGAGGGTAGCACAATCAGGATAGTACTCCAGTACGGCAATTTGAACGCACATACTGGGATCAAGTAATAATAGTGCTTATTCTGCCTTGTTAGTCTGTCCTCGTGTGAAAGTGGCACTGACCCCGCAGACTGACCGCGCGGTAGCGATGCGACAAACACACATGCCGAGTCTGTCAGGTCAATACAAACATTATTATTAAGTTAATTGTTTTGTTTCGCATCAAAACAATTAAAATTCACTTGTTTTACTACACAAATTCGTATTAGATTTATTTTGATTATAACCTCCAAAATCTTTTCTCAGAATGTTTTATTCATAAGATCTTTATATTTTACTTTTTATTGATTATTATAGTATTGCTTTTCATATATGAAACATTTTTTAATGTTATGTTTTGTAATATGCAGCATTATTTAGCTATTATTAGATAACTATCATATACAGTTTATATAATAAGGTTATAGTTAAATATTTTAGTATTAGTTATACAAAATCTATTTTTCTTTAGAAAATGGAGGTCTTAAAAAAAGTAAAAAAAAAACAAAAATATTTTTAATATTCATTAATTATACTTAAATGTCCCACAGTAGACTATATGCTCCTAATTTCAATAGAGACACGACGCTACTACATACTACATAAACAGGAATTTGTGACTTTTATCCAAAGCATCTTATTATCCGTTGAACTTGTATTACATGTTGTCCTTTTCATTCTCTTTGAGAAAATAGAGACAGACAGTGTCAATCTACGGTTGTGTGGTATTACTGACCTCTATTAATGGATAGGATAGGTGTGTTGTGAATGTATTTCTTTTTCGTCTTTTGGCGCTGACAGTGATGAGGATTCGAACTGTCACTAACTTATCGGGATCATTTCAGTTGGAATGCAGCAAAAGCTATCATTTCGGAGCCTGTCCATTTATAGAGATCAGTGTGTATGTCGCTTTCGCGTATCGTACGGTTGGTCAGCAACAACTGCGGGGAAGAGGTAACGACAGGATTGTTGGTGTATATTTCACTCAGAAAATGACAATAACTAGCGTAGTGTGTGGACGGACATTGTGTGAATATTACTGCTAGATACAACCGATGTGAGCACTTTACGGTACAGATCAACGTTGTAAGAACACCTATTGCTATCTTTTTTCAATAAGAGTGAAAGAGACGGCAATAGGTATTTGTTACGGTGTTAGCTAACAGAGAGTTTATCACGAATGTTTAAGTAACAATTGCGAGAACATTGCGTAATGTTATCGACATTTGTACGAGATTTGTTGGTGTATTTTACGGCTGCAGGAATCTGATATAAATTTTGTCGAAGACGTTACGAAAACTGTCACGAATATTCGTGATAAGCCTCAATACCGTCTGAGCGTCACATATTATTGGAATTTGCATCTCGGCATTTATTTGAATGAGATATTAATACGAAATTATGTAAAATAAGCGTTTTCGTTTGATATATATAAGTGCGTTGTAATGTGTGGAGTAATCGATATTTTTGTGTACTCAATGTTTTATTCATGTTAATGTAAAAGGGCATTTGATAAAAAGATACGAAATTAACATTAAAATCTTTTGTCCTTGAAGTTAATAACACAATAGAATTTGTGTTAAAATCTAAACAGTATGAGTAAGTATTATTTTATCGTGTGACACTAAACTGTGCGAGGGGAAAAATGGCGCTCGCTGCAAAACTTCTTTCTTAGTTGAAAGTAGAAAAATTGCATCGCCTTTATTCGTGAGCTAGGTTCCCATACTCTTTAATTAGACTATTGGAAATCCTCGACTTTCATCAACTCGACATGTGAATTGACGATATTAACTCTATCGATGAATAATTAAATGTGATAACATCATAACTGTGCCTTATTGTGCCTTTATTAAAATTATTTATTGTGTTTTATAATGTTGAAGTATTTGTGCACTTATTGGTGACTCGATGTTAATCGGAATTAAAACTAATTATATACTTGTAACGTGTTTGTCTACTTACACCGTCCTTGCGTATTTTTGAGATTATGGTTAGATTAGTTAGTTAAATCGTGACATAGATAGTTATCTGGCAACTTTAATGTTTACTTAGTATATTGTAATGTTTGCGATGCGTGTACTGCGTGACATCGGCTGTTTGTGACAGTGTTAGCTGACGGCTATCACCGACCGTTAGTCGATTGACAAATTACCTTATTTAACATTTAACCTGTTACGTGGATTTATCACGTTTGACTGCGACAATACTCCTTTTTATACTATCGGTGCGGAAGTGCGTATTTCGAAATTGTTTAAACCCACCTAGTCTATTTTATACAGTTAGCTTGATTTTAAATACCCAGATTAGGCCTTATTAAAATGCTACATTGAAAACTTTGCCATATTAGTAAAAGTACTATTCTTGTAAGACTTATTGTAACTTTTGAGGTTATATCGCATAGCAACTGTGTAACTATTGTAATTAGGTGTAGCGGTGCTGGGTTTATGATACATATAATTTTGTATTCTGTAGATCCGTTCGTTGTCCTTTATTTTGTATTTGTCGTGTATTATTTCTTTATATTTTTAAGTTACAACGCTTTTCATATTGTTCGGTTCATTATTCTTAAATGCTTCTTTTATAAAGTTTTTTTTGGTCCGACAGTAGAAAGTATAATCCGTGGCAGTGATTGAATTTAATAAATGTCATTTGTTACATCGTAGCGCGGTTTGGAAGCTTCGGTTTGCGAATAAAAATGCAATGATAAATGGGCATACTTAGTTGCATTTGATTTGGCACGTGGGGGATAAGAATGCTCTTGTATCCGACGTGCCAATTCAAGCAAGCAGGGCCTTTGTCACCGTTGGTTCGGACTCTTCGCTCTCGCTTTATGACATAAAAGAAACATTCCATGTTACCACCACTCCACTCCACTTCACTCAGCAGAGCTTACACTGAATAATTTACTGAACAATATATCAAGTAAAACAATATATAGTTTATTTCTTAAGATAGCCTTTAATTATAAACATATCTTTTCAGTCTGAACAGATGCAAGTTTTCTATGTAGTGTATATAACATGTCTATCAATATTATAACAATGAAATTACAAATGTCATTTTTTTTTAATTTTTATTTGCTTTAATTTCATTGTAAATAATTTGATATTATATGAATTAAATAAATATTTGTTTCAATATCAACTAAATGTTTCATTTTCTTCCTTTTATATTCATAATTCTGATTTAGATTTATGCTGTTGAAAGAAAAAGAATTTTATTTTTATTAACATTCTATGTGAATAAATCCTCGTGTCAGCAAACCCCATGGATCCAACACCGCATGCATTATGATTTCCTCACCTGTTAAATGACAGAAATATCGTGCTGTAATTAAAATATAGTGCAAATGGCTCCAACGTAAACGAATATATGTTTGAATCGGAAATTATGCCAGACAAAATTTTAAAAATTATAATAACACATCAAAAATGACAGCTAAAATCTACAGTTCTTCTTGGTAATGTTATTTTCAAATTTACTTAGAAAATTGTATTAATCAAGTTAATTTAAAAGTACAAAACGTGGATTAAACCGGAAAATTTTGGCTTGCGATAGTTTACATAGGAGCATTGAGTGTTATTTTTAGGCATGACAGATAAAAAAAAATCGTAACAGATAAAATATGATAAAACCAAAAACATCTAATTTAAACAAATAAAAAAAGGTTTTGTGATCCAATAATATATGATAGATGTTTCTGGTTTTATCTTTTCATTGTGTTCATCAAATGGCATAATTTTGCAAGCACTAACCTCAAGGACTACTATAGAAAACCTCATAATTGTTAATAATTTGTTCATTTTGGACGCATGTTCAAAAGAATCTGCTGTAATTTGCATAGCAAGGATAAAAGAAAATTTTCTTTCTTACACCGCTCCTATTTACAAAGGAAAATAATTCTAAAGAAGAATAAAATATAAACTATTTATCGCATGCAAACTAAAAGCATTAACAACAGCTGCTATCAAAATAAGTATTAAGCGTATTAAAAAATCTAATAACATTTTACTTTGGCGCTATTTTAAGTGAATTTAGTACAAACATCATACCGCGGGGTCCTTGAAGCGATCATCCTGCGGCAGTTCTCTGTTGGCGACGAGCTGCTTGAAGTATTCTACAGACAGCTTGGGCGTGCGCGGCCGCGCCGGGTCGGTTATGTCCACGTGGTATAGACCGAAGCGTTCACTTCAATAAATCAACTTTTAGAAAATTTACTCAGATTTTTGTATCTAATGGTTCGAAAATTTAGATACAAGTTAAAACTAGAGTAGGATTATTTCTTTTATTTATTTAATTTTATTTATCTGTGACTAAAATACCGCGAACGAAGACTGTAAGAAGTGTATTTACTAAACTTAATACTGAAGTGAATGATTGCAATACGTACGAGAATCCAGCTCTCCATTCGAAGTTGTCCATCAAGGTCCACGCCGTGTAACCCAACACTTTAACTCCATCTTCGTAAATCACGTTCAGAATCTCCGTTAGGTAATCCTGAAAGCGTTCATATTGTGTTTAAGAGATTATATTTCTTTATTTCAGAAGCATAATACACAGAACAAGATATCGCGTGATGGTACTGAAACGCGTAAGGACATCGTAGATTGTTATAGAAGTGTTTCTAAACTTACATTAAAGTATTTGATACGTCCGTAGTCCTCGAGAGTGCCGCGGTCCGAGCAGCCGTTCTCAGTGATGTAGATGGGCGGGTCATTGTACGAGCTCTTGCACCATCTGAGAAGATTGGCGAAGCCTGTCGGTACGATCTGAAATGATAATTTTTTATTAAAGCTTAATTGTGGTGGAAATTAATAATGATATTAAATAATTGTTTACCCGAAGCCATTCGGAAGCAGAATCACCTCCGACGTCCATCGACGTCACTGCTCCGATATCCTTGAGCCAGGAGGGAGACTTAGCGATGGGGTCGACGCCAGCGCCGGTGATGAGATGCGTCGTGTAGTGGTTGATGCCGAGGAAGTCTGATGTTCCCTTGATGCGTTGTATCCAGTGGTTGTCGAACTGTTCGAGGCGGGATTTGGGCAAGCCCTCGGCCGCGCTTTGCTGGGCGACGTTCTCGATCATGACGGCCGGGAAGCCGCCTTCCTCTGTGAAGATCGGGTGAGCGAACCATCCGAACTAAAAGAGAAAGAGAGCATGATTGAATTTTAGACGTTAATGTGGAAAAGTCATTGTATTATATTGCGCTTTACTTACTTTAAATTGATTGGCGACTTCAGCTAAGGCGACTTGTTCAGCATTGCTCGGATCGCTCGGCTCATACCAGATGGCGTTGATGGAGATCATGATTTTCCCATCCTGCTTCGGCCTGTAGGTCTCGTTGTAGAGGTGATATGATTCGGCGTGGGCCTTGAGGAGTGTTTCACTGCACAGATAATTTCCTACGCCGTGACTGTCAATGGCGGGGGCTTTCTTTTCATCACCGTACGCGTCCTCGCAGATTTCGTAAGGCTCATTGAACGTGATCCACGACTTGATGCGGTGACCGAACTCTCTGAAGCAAACGTCGGAGTAGTCGCGGAAGTAGTCGATCATTTTCGGGTTCGCCCAACCACCGAGGTCTTGGAGTGCTTGAGGCAAGTCCCAGTGGAACAGCGTTACCTGCGCACGAAAGCATCCGATTGAATAACACTGAATAAAACGATTAAGTGTGTGTCTCTTTAATACAAAAATCTGGACAGCACACTGTCGTGTCGTAAGACACAACGCAATCTTCGTATATTAATTCCAATAACTTACTAAAGGTTCAATGTTGTTTTCAGCGAGGGCGTCTAGCAAAGCATTGTAGTACCGGATGCCGTCGGGATTGATTTGATCCACGCGGCCAGTAGGCAGGATGCGAGACCAGGAAAGCGAGAAACGATAGAAGTCGACGCCGAGGTAAGCCAGCTCCTCCACATCCTCCAGGTACCGGTTGTAAGAGTCACATGCCACGTCGCCGTTAGTACCGTCTGCGATCATCTCGGGACGTGTGTGAGTCAACCGATCCCATACATTTTCTGATTTCCCTGTAAAGCAGAGGTCATTCATTACGGTGAAATGTCCAATGCACACAACAACTTATAGAATCGTGCTGATATTTTTTACGGTTACATTTCTAATCGATATAGATTCTAAATGGGAACTTAATTCTTAATTTTCTTTCTTAACCTTTGAATGGAACATACTTGTAAAAGGGGCATATGCAAATCGATCTAAGGACATAAATATGATATATGCGGGTTGTTATATTTTAACTATATTACTTTAGTTATTAACTGTAATTACGAGTAATAAGCTTCAATCATGCGTAAACTCACATAAGTACTGTTTTCGATTTTTGTGAAATTGATAAGAACAATGTAAAGACAATTCAAAAATACTCTTTCGTAATCTTTGCAAACTCTTGAACTTCCTTCAAGCTATATTGATTGTAGATAAACAAAAATGATTGACAGTGCGGCTAATCCTACTTGAGATATTTGATAAATACCTCTGGGAGATATAATTTTAAAACCGCTGTATATACCAGCAACTTCTAAATAAATTTGTTTAAAATATATTTGAAGTCAATTGTGAAAATTCTCTCACCGATAGGTCTTTCACTAGTGAATTAGCAAGCAATCAAAATAAGTTTGAGCATGTTATTCAAAGATATCAGATACGAAAAATTAAACAAGTTATGGTCTTACCGCTGACATTCCACGCGCCTTCAATCTGATGCGAAGCCGTCGCTACACCGAATGTAAAACCTTCCGGGAATTTAGTGTAGTGCGCTTGACTCCTGTTAATCATATTCATGTTATTTCTTTTCTACTAAAAGATTTGGTTCTGCTAAAAGACCTACACATTTGACTTACGGTTACTTTTTTTGGTATCGGGGGAAATCTTCAAAAGATACCTTCTGAGGGGAAGACATTGTTATGTGGGGTTTGACCCGCTAAAACCCTCTCGGTGGCTAGCCTCTATTGCAATAGGAGAGGGTTCTGGAATCTCCGTGGATATTATTTATTCCGCTTATTTTCGTGATATGCTCATTTATAAATTTAGGAAAAATACGTGTTTTAAGGTTAGCTTTCATGTTATCAAACTTAGTAGTCGAGTATTTTTAATGCGCCGCGACCCTGTGATAATTGGTTGTGGAAAGTGTGTCGAGGCAGGAGTCAACCCGCGTCATAATTTAAATTAATTATTCCGAGTCTCATCGCGTACGCAAACATTGCTATTACTGATTGTATGCTTTGATGGGGACGTTTGTAACATACGTATATTATTGTAATGTTCAAAGGAATATATCGTATAAACGCTATCATTTGCTTGCTAAAATTAACAAATGAAATTCAGTTCTAAAATAGTTTTAAGTTAATTGACAAGCTTAAATTTAAAAAAATATATATCAATGTTAATTAACATCATACTACTATTGAAAGTGTGAAAATTTAGATGGATGAACGGATGGATGGATATTTGTTAGAGTTTGTAGCCTAAATGGTTGATCAGATTTCGATGAAATTTGGTGTAGATATAGTGACTAGTCTGGAAGAACACATGGGGTACTCATATTTGTTTTTGTTTTTAATTCCTCGCGGGCGGAGTCGCAGGCGAAAGCTAGTAAACTATATTTTGAAATAAAAATTACACGTTCGATTATATGCCTTCAGAATTCCAAATTGTACGACTAATTTAAATTATTATCAAAACCTCATTTACTTTACGTACAAAACTAATGGCAAAGAAAATAAATGATTTACTGAATATTTGTATTATTAAAAAAGGGTAAATCGGCAATCGCCAACAAGCACTAAAACAATTGGTGTTATAACTTGTTACTTGATTAATTACGTAATGTTTCAGTAAATGGCATGTAAGGAAAAGGTACAAAAATGCATACTAAACTGTTAGGGTGTTCTTCGGAAATCGGGCAAATGTTAATCTAGATTATTTCCTGGTAATTATTATTTATAATAGCATATGTATAAAGATAAAGTCTTTAATAAATGTTACGTCAGTGTTAATGTATGGATTTCAATTGAAAGACCGGTTGAGCGTAAACGGTACTTTTTGCTGACCAAGTTTTACTTACAATGGCACCAAAGACGTAATGCAAGAATACGAAATATCGTAATACGCTTTTTGAGGTTAGTTTTTAAAACTGCAGATGAAAATCTTTGTTCCGTTAATTGAGTTGGTGCCTTACTTTATCCAAAATATTTTTAGACAATAAATTAATTATAGCATAAGACTGTAATAATTTATTAGAACTATTATGAATAGAATCAATTTTATAACTATAATACCTAATACAGATTTAAAATTGATTTTATGCAATGATATTGAGACTTGCTTTGCCTATTAATTAAATTAGAAATATAGCTATTTAAAATTAATACTTCATCAAAACCCTCTTTTACTATAGCTTGTAAGTTACATTACGTTACATGAACATAAAGTTACTCAATACTTACAATTGGTAGAGTGTAAACAAGGCAATAACAGTACGGAACGCCATCTTGCCGCGCGCTGTGTCGCCGCGGAGTTACAACAGCCAACTGGTCCGCGGGAGGGCCACCTCTCTTCTCTTCACCAACTATTTAACCACAATCTCGAGAGGTTGCCGAATTTCCTCCTGATAAAATGAAGACGTGGGATTATCTATCGTTTCTATGTCAGAATTAGTAATTAGGTCAATGAAAGGTCGAAAAATAAAGGATGGTTGGTACTTTGTTTTCTTTCGTTTTTTTTTTTTTAATAGAAATTATGAAACAATTATCTTTGGTCTTTATAATTAAAATCTAGTCCTATTACACATTATGACAGCAACTAGTATCTCGTTTATAAATACTATTTTACTTAAGATAAGGAGGGCGTTAGTTATGAATGTGGAGGGGTACACCGGTAGAGGTAGACCTAGAAAGAGATGGATGGATTGCGTGAAAGGTGACATGATGAAAAAGGGAGTGATGACTGAGATGCCGGAAGATACAGTTATTTGGAGGACAAAAACCTGGCGCGCCGACCATACGGGAGTAGGATAAAGCAGGGGAGATGATGATGAAATACTTTTTTACTTATTTTATATAATTGTTTATCATTAATATTGTTTTATCAGTTTTAATAAAAAAAAATCCCAATCAATTACTACTTTCAGATTCTGAGTAACGAGATTTGAAATTTTTCTATAAGTTGTTTGAAATTATAGTTATTCTATTATTATAGTTAAATGTAATATGTTGATCAAATATGTTTTATTGCATTCTTTCTTGCTTCTATAGACATCTTAATAACGTTCGCAGACTAGCCGTGAAACATATTTTTTGCTACTCTTACACCGATGAACCGACGGCCGTAAAAGCCCGGGATATGATGAAATAAATATCAAAATAAAACAAATACTTCTATAGCCTTAGTGATGGAATCATTATATAACAAGATAAATATTTTACGAGAAGGGATCGGGGATTACTGTTAAGATATACAGCGTAAGAGTAGTTAAGATAACTCAACCACAAATGATAAATTCATATCTAAAACTATATCCGCAAAAATATCTTCCATGACAATATTAAATATATCAATATCTTAGAATTGACTTTAAGACGAGGCCGATGATTTATTTTTTTTTGTATAAAAAGGTGGCAAACGAGCAAGTGGCCACCTAAATCCGCCAAAATGGTGAAGCGACCGCTGCCCATAGACATCCACAATGCAGATGCGTTGCCTACCCTAAATCGACGAAGGAGGAGAAGCACATAAAGAGAATATTTCCCCATCCTATGCGTCTCTTCCACCGTCAAATCCACTTTTCCATCCATCCTTCTCTTTAAAAAAAGGTGGAACGGGAAAAGGACTAAAATTGGGCCTCCGGCACCACATTCATCAGACGAAACGCAGAATTGCTTCAACTTCACGCCTGTCTTCTGTGTGGTCCTTGTATTGCTAAGGCGAGCCGACCCATTCGTGCGAAGATGTTAAAGCAGGCTTTACCACTGTCGAACTTTACATTTTAAATTTTAAACTGATGCATATATTTTTATGAATAGACAACGGATGAGTTCAACGATATGAGGTTTAAAATGAAGGGAATTGTTGCTACAATACATGACAACAATTTTAATCACAGTTAACAATCAGGATTGAATTCGCCGCTTCATAAGATAAAAGTTATATTATTTGAACCATAAATAGGGTCGTAAGTATACAACTTTAAATTAAAAACAATAATTATAAGTAAAAAAACGCTAAAAACAAAGTATTCTCAAAAAAATAGTACACTAAAAAGTAACGAAAAAATTCGTAGAAAATAGTAAACCTCCGTTATTGTAGCTGTTATGTCTATATTGTACAATTAATAATACTTTGATGTCGGTGTCAGCCGAGGAGTGCTTGTTACTTCTGTCATAACCATTAAGAAAAGAAGGGGTAAAAAATTATTGAATACAATGCTGTGATTTTTTATGCACACTGTAAGATTAATAGCTACGAAAACGCAAGATAATAGTTTATATAATTTAATTTAAAAATAAAACAGTATGAGAACTTTGAACAAAGAAGCTATTTAAAAATAATAAATTTAATTTTTCATTATCAGTTAAGACAAAGTTATGTGTTTCAAGGTCAGGGCATATTTAATAACAAAGTTATCACATGACGATTATAATTATTTGTCTCTGGAATTTTGCTGCATGCAGAGTACTCTGTAGTTTCATTAAACATGATTTATTATTTGATATTAATATGTGTTGCGTTGATTTTGATTAACTTATTATTTAACTACAATCGTAAAGCAATGTTACTGTGGAAAATTCCAGGATTTAAAAACACATTTTTAATTGGAAACCTTTTGGAAATATTACTGCCACCAGGTAAATTACATTTTTTTTCTACTGAAAAACAAACCACTGGTCACATGGAGTGAGAAATCCGTAATTATCTGCCTACTTTGAAGAATTACGGGCGTAAAAAAAAGTTTTTCATTTTTTTTTTCATTTTTTCATTAATATCGTTTCAGTGCAATTATTTTCATCGATACGACAAATAGCAAAAGAAAAAAATGGCATTTATAGATTTTGGTGCTTTCCTATTGCTTCTGTTAACATTTACAATCCGGAAGATGTTGAGGTAAATTTTCCATATTCATAACTAGCTGCCGCCCGCAACTCTTTACGCGCAGAAATAGAAAAAAAAATTTAACAGCCTAACAGTAGTAGAGCCTGCTTTATCTTCTTCGGACGAATGGGCCGGCTCGCCCGGTGTAATACCACGACCACACAGAAAACAGGCGTGAAGTGGAAACAATTCCGCGTTTCGTCTGATGAGTGCGGTGCCGGAGGCCTAATTTTAGTCCCTTTTCCTTTCCACCCTTTTCTTAAGAGGAAAGGATGGGAAGGAAAAGTGGATTTAATGGTGGAGGAGACGCATAGGAAGGGGAAATGTCCTCTTAATGTGCGTCTCCTCCTCCTTCAATTAAGGGTAGGCAACGCATCTGAGATTGCGGTTGTTTATGGGCAGCGGTCGCTTTCCAGTTCGGTGGATTCAGGTGGCTGCGTGCTCGTTTGCTACCTTATATTATTACAAAAAAAATGTCTTCCAGACTATGCTCTACATGTATGCTAAATTTTATCGAGATCAGTTCATCCATCTAAAGTTTGGCATTTATAATATTTGTGAGAAGATTAGGTTTTCTATTTCAGGTTATTCTTTCAAGTATGAAATATCATGAGAAAAGTCAGGCTTATACATTTCTAAAACCATGGTTGCAGGACGGATTGTTATTAAGTTCAGGTTTGTGTAATAATATTATTCTCTTTATAAATTGCTTCATACTCGTGGATATTAATTAATTTTTGTATGTTTGTTCTATTAACTAGCATATACAATTGGATACATGATACACGACATTAACAAACAAAAATTTTTATCAGGAACAAAATGGCAGAATCGCAGAAAGATTCTAACACCAGCTTTCCACTTCAGTATACTACGTAGATATTATGCGAGCATTGTCGAAAACACAAATCGTCTAGTTGAATCTCTTGGCAAGATTGTAGACACGCGCGTTGACATTGTACCAATTATGTCTGACTGTACTCTAAATAGTATTTGTGGTACGTATTATTACTAGCTTTCGCCCGCGACTCCGTCTATGTAGAATTAAAAAAAACAAATGAAATTAGCCGATGTGTTCTTCCGGACTATCGTTTCCATCTACATATATCAAATTTAATTGAAATCCATTCAGCAATTTATATGATTAAATAATCAATATAATAGCTAATCTCTTAGTGAAATTAGAAAAAATCAAACAAAAAAATGGGACCCACCTGCAAGCACCTTTCGGATAAAAAAAGAATTATCAAAATCGCTTCACTAGCGGCGGAGTTATGCCGTAACAGACATTAAAAAACAAAACATGCAGACGAATTGAGGACCTCCTTCTTTTGGGAAGTCGGTCAAAAAGATAGCTAAAGTTTATACGAAAACCAACTTAATCCACGCTAATTTCTTGACTTTTAGACCAAAAGACTCAAGATTTATTGACATCGCAAATGCTGACTTTGTTTTATTCAGAAAAGTACGCTTTTTATGTTTAAAATAAATTAATAAATGGAAGTTTTAATAACAATACTTTCAGAATCGATAATGGGCACTAAACTTAATGACAACAAGATAGGGAAGACTTATAAGAATTCAATACACGAATTGGGAGCCATTTTGGTAAAGAGATTCATCACAATCTGTTTCTATATAGATTTTATTTTTAATTTATCTGAATTGGGAAAGAGACAGAAAAAGTATCTTGGTATTAATCATAATTTTACACGTACGATTATAAATGATCGAAAAAAACATGTAAAAGAGAATGGTGTAAATTTCTTCGAGGAGACGGAAGGTAGAGATGACGAATACAGAATGATGTATTCTAAGAAAAAGAGAACAACAATGTTAGATTTACTTATTTTAGCAGAACAAGAGGGTCTTATCGACACAGTTGGTATTGAAGAAGAAGTTGACACTTTCATGTTTGAGGTACCTTCTGTTCAGTTGATTGTATATTAATACTGTTATGCAACATAGAAAATAATTTGCTTTATGATATCAGGGTCACGACACAACGGCAACTGGGTTGTCATACTGTCTGATGTTGTTGGCCAACCATCCAGAGATACAGGTTGTTTTTTTTTTATTTTCTTAATTTTATAGATTTGGAAGAAGTAAGCCAAACGGATCCTTTCTAGTCATAGATCCTGGTTTAATTTATTCTTAACTAACTTTCCCTCGCGATTCCGTACACGTGGAATTAAAAAATAAATAAATAAAATTATGTTGCTTACGTGTTCTTCCAGAATATTCCATCAATATTAAATTTCATTGGAATCCGTACAGCAATTTAATCTACAAACTAGCATCCATCCATCTAAACTGTCACATTTATAGTTAGTGTGATTTAGGTTGTTGCGTCTTTATTACCCTTGGATATTATTGTTTTTCAAGGACGAAGTAATTTTAGAACAAAAAGAAATATTTGGTGACACTAAACGAACCGCAACTGTAGACGATCTTCATAAGATGACTTACTTGGATCGCTGCATCAAGGAATCGTTGAGACTTTACCCCCCAGTGCCTTTTATTAGTAGATGGTTAAATGAATCTGTAACTTTAAGTAAGTAATCTCAACTTTAAGCATTTCAGAATATGTTAAGTACTAGGAACAACAATCTTACCTACTCAATAGAATGTCTTTGATATCAAAAGAGCAAATTTTAATATAATTGTGCTGTTTTTGTCTGATTCTTTTTTTTTATACATAACATAAGGTGGCAAACGAGCAAGCGGCCACCTGAATCCACCGATATGGAAAGCGACTGCTACCCATAAACATCCGCAATTGCAGATGCGTTGCCTATTGACAGTTGCCTATTGCCTTAATTGATAGAGGAAGATATGCATATAAAGAGGATATTTTTCCTTCCTATGCGTCTCCTTCACCGTCAAATCCACTTTTCCTTCCCATCCTTTCCTCTTAAGAAAAGGGTGGAAAGGAAAAGTGACTAAAATAAGGCCTCTGGCACCACACTCATCAGACGAAAAGCGGAATTGCTTCCATTTCACGCCTGTTTTCTGTGTGGTTGTGGTATTACACCGGGCGAGCCGGCCCATTTGTGCGAAGATGTTAAAGCGGGCTCTACCACTGTTAATCGTAACAATTTCAGGTAATTACACAGTACCGGCGGGAACATCTTGTCACATCCACATATACGATCTGCATCGTAATGAACGTTTGTATCCGAACCCATCGGTGTTCGATCCAGACAGATTTCTACCAGAAAATGTTGCCAAGCGTCATCATTATGCCTACGTACCTTTTAGTGCGGGCCCAAGGAACTGTATTGGTATGTACCCTACCTAATTTTGGTTTTATTTTAATTGATAACTTAGCTATTTTTTTACGTTTTTGTAGGTCAAAAATTTGCAATTATGGTAATGAAATCAATAGTGTCCGGCATAATGAGAAACTTTAGGTTACATCCAGTGACAACTTGTTCGGACCTACGCTTCCAAGCTGACTTGGTGTTGAGAAACTCCGAACCAGTGTACATTAAATTTACAAAGCGAGAAATTGCTATTTGAAAAATAAAGGAAGTTTATTAACATATTTTGACAAGAATATTATAAATAAAGTAATAAATATTTATGTTACTATTAAAAGTATATTTTTAATGAGTACATACGTGTTAAGCGTCATCAAGGAGTCCCTGCATCACACAGAGGTAGTCGACGGATGTAGCTAGTGAGTGGGCTAGGAGAATACTTCGGGTCAATACTTCGCGAACCTTCCACATGTCATTAACCGGACAAGGACGGAAAATGGTGGACACAGCGCGGCTCATAATTCTCGTGGGATAAAAATGATAAGGCTGGTTTAGCCACCAACTGTAACAAAAAACATCTATATCACAGCGTAAGTAATAGAATTAACCCTTGAAGTATTGCAAAGAGTTGTACAAATTAGATGGATAGATTAGATATTAGAATGGTCTACCCTTCAAAGAAAGAGAGATATTCATTTTCAGTACATTTACTTTTTTATTTTATTAATATCAAGTGACTGCTTATTCATTTACCATTTTCTATTATAAAAAGATATTAGAAGATGATGACTACAATATTAAAATGTTATTTGCTATTACTGACCTTAAAAAAAGTCCTTCATAAACAAAATAAGTAACGCACACGACGAATATAGGGTAGAGTAGGGGCATCAAAACGAGGAGAATTAAAAGCATTGTGGCGATGAGCTTGAGGAAGGTGGGGAATGGTGCACCATATCGCCATAGACTGCGGATGTCGCAAGCGAATTCCTTTACCAGAACTTTCACTCGCCCCAGCCGAGAAGCAGACCGGAACTGTCAAAAATAGACATGTTTTTATATTGGTTACGAGCTGTTGCCCGCAACTTCGTCCGCGTAGTATTAGAAAACATACGAACTATATAAATTACAAATAGCTACGTATCCCTCGGGAACCGGACATTTCTCGGGGATGAAGCTTATCCCATGTGTACTCCAGACTTTGTTTTATATCTGTGCCAAATTTCAATAAGATATGTTGAACCGTTGCAGAATGATCGAGTAAACATTAAAAAACTAAATCAATGAATCCCACGGGAACCGTAACTATTCCCGGGATACAAAGGAGCCTATGTGTTCTTCCAGACTATTCTCTACATCTGTGCCAAATTTCATGGAGATCCCTTCAGTCGTTTAGGCTACAAACGCTAACAAACATCTATCCATCCATCCATCTAAACTTTCGCATTTATAATCTTAGTAAGATGTACCCTATATTCCGTAAGCTTGTTTTAAATCAATGTGCATATACGTTGCCATTTAATTTCATGATACACCTTCTTATGATATAAAATAATCGAACTGTTTACATTTGCATTTCGTTTTATTTATTCTTTTTAAGTTACTCGAAAAGGTAATTGCGGTTTGCGGAAGGTATGTATACTCTTCTACTTATTGCATTTTTATATCTGCAGCTTTCTCGAAGAGGTAAATCTGCACTAATATTTTAATGAGGAAATATTTGTATGTATTGAAATTACTTAAAAACTACTGGGCCGATTTAAAAATGTCTTTCTCTATTAAAAAGCTACTTTATCACTGAGTAACATAGGCTACATTTTACTATTTTTTATTCCACGAGAACGAAGTCGCGGGAAAGCTAGTAGTAGTAGTAATAGTGTAATAAAGGTAGGGACAATTTTTCTCACTTCCACCATAAAAGCCTTGTTAGTTCGACGATAGGGTTTCATGATTATATGTTTATACTGTCTCACAGTTTCATATTGATAAATGTTTTGTATTGTATTGACTGATTGGTCTACATATTTATTTTAGTCACATGTTTAGGAAAGAGAGTGCTTTTTGGACTATTGTTATGACATTGACTTTTAGTGTCATAAAGGTAAAAAATATGACAATGATGGAATACAGAATATATTAATCAATTCAATCATTTTTATATCTGTTCCAAACAGGAAGCAAACAGCTTAGAAGTTTTTTCTTCAAATCCTAATTTACACAATTCAAATCCGTAACTTTCTTACGGAGTTCTGTTACATATTTAATGTAGCTATTCTATAAATTTTGGTGTAACTATAAACTAATCAACTAGACTCCGCTAAAGGTAAATAGAAAAAAAACTTGTAAAACATAAATAAAAAAATAATTTATTGTCAGCCAGACCACATCAAGTGTGAGCACATCTAGTAAACAATTTCCATATAGATTTTACTACAAACTAGTTCGTAAACTGACGAAAACAATCGTCATATACGTTAGTTGATTTATGTTCGTTCCTCTATCTTAACATATACGGGCTCCGTGGAGCGGAGCATCAGATCCGAGGTGTATGCAATATCTTCAGGCTTAGTCACTGGCAACAGCCGGTACTGTCTCAATATAGCTAATATAGCCAGCTTCATTTCAATCAATGCAAATTTTTGACCTGTAAACGAGGAGGAGGAATAAATAAATGTAATCAGAACTAACTATATTCTAGTATTACTTGGGTGAACTGTCTGTAAGAAGTTGAGAGATCACAACAATTGTAAATCATTCTAACATTTCAATAAGATTTTAAAAAAATAAATTATAAAATTTACTTATCTTTAAGTTACTATTCACTCTAAGGTTTGCATCCATGATGATAATTTTAAAATGAGCGATTAAAAAATAAAACATTTACCAATACAATTACGTGGCCCGGCACTAAATGGTACATAGGCGTACGGATGCCAAGTTGGATTGTTAGTCATGAACCTTTCTGGTTGGAATTCATTCGGATTTGGGAACTGATCTTCACGTCTGTGCAAGTCGTATATCAAGATGATGCATTGCGTACCAGCTGGCATCACATTGTCCTCTGTAACATTATAGTATATACATTTGATCATATCCTTGTGGTTTGCATAAAACATATTTCAGTATGTGACTTACTTAATTTTACGGAATGTTCAATATTCCTCAAAATAACAGGCACTGACGGATATAATCTGAGACATTCTTTGACGCAACAATCCAGATATTTCAACTTCCCAAGATCGGTTAAAGGAATCGATTGGTCCGTAGGTGAAAAAAATTCATTGTACTCTTGAATGACACGCTCCTAAAAAACACATAATTTATTTGATGATCATTAGCATTAAGAAGCATATCTTTACAATTATTTAAACCTTTAACTACACTCTACACACCTGCGCGTCTAAATTGTTGGCAAAAACCATCAAAGCGTATTGCAGAGCGGTCGCAGATGTATCGTGGCCCTGAAATTGAATTAAGTATTTAAACATTTGATAGTTTTCTATTAACCTAGTAAAAAAAAAAACAACTCACCCCGAACATAAATGTATCAACTTCTTCCTTGATGCCATCCGCATCGATTGTCCCTTGTTTTTCAGCTTGAAGTAGCAAATCCAACATTGCTAATCTTTTTTTACCTTTGAAACTAACGTCTTCGTCTTCTATTATAAGATCATCTTCCTTAAAAGTTTCTCTTCTCGTATCAATAACACGATCACGAAATTTATTCATCATTTGTAACGTCCTCTTTTGTTTACGACCTAATTCTGTTAGGGAAAAGATGAAATCTGAATGCATCCAAAGTTTCAATGTCCTGACAATGGCTAGATTAGATAGATCGAACACTCCCTGTTTGTATTCCTTCGCAAAATCTTTGGATTCTTCGTCTAGTTTTATACCCATTGCAGTTTCTGTAAAATAATCGCATTATTTTGAATGTATTCCATTCTAATCAAATGTGAAAAAAAAACAGAGGAACGTCAAGTTCCATTAGGCATCTCATCATTCACTTGGCAGATTTTAAGATTTTTTGCCTATTTCGTTTTTTTTTTTAATATCTGCGATACTAATAATGTAATTAATCTTTCAGCTTAATCTGTAGTTTGTGAATGGTCAAGGTTATTCAGCAAATAGACGTTTTCCTTGACAATAGCATGTCTTAAATAAAAATTTGAATTTAAAACCTATACTTTGTCTTACCGCAAATAGAATTCAGTGTGAAATTCTGCAAATAATGTTCCACGTCGGTTTTCGGTTGGCCAACTTCACATTTCAGATTTTCAACTAATTTTCGGCTGTTTTCTTCTAATATTATTTTGTATATTTTCAGAATATTGAAATAGAAAGCGGGCGTCAACAGCTTTCTTCTGAATGCCCATTTTGCTCCTAAAATTCATAAATATTAAGTTTTATGTTAGTGGTTCATCATAACTAGCTCACTAAACGTCCCCACTGAGGGGCTCGCAGCCTACCCAAAGTTAGGGTGACTAGGCCATAGACAACCACGCTGACCCAATGTTGGTTGGTATAATAGTGATCATCAATAATTTTAATTAAAAAGTTATAAACAGATTACCTGTGCTTAATGCTAATCCTTCTACCATCCATGGTTTTATAAATTTGTATGGGTATCCTTTAGTGATATATTTCATGTCACTTAAAATTGTCTGCAAACAACATACTATCAATATATTTTACTTTAGTACTTACATGTAAAAAACTTAACTACACACCCGACCCAACTATTAGGTTCACCGATTTGTCGAAATTCGACTTTATTACGTCTGTACTAAACATAATAAAGCGTAAACACGCACTTCTTTGTTGCCTAAGATGTCTGCAATTACACCATATTTTTAATGTATTTTATTTTTTAACAAAAAGCCCTACACTTACGTCACGCTTTAGGCTATATATTTTCACGCCATTAAACTTAGGGGGTAAATATTTTGAATAAAAACCCTAATGCGCGAAAGAGACTATAAGTTGCTGCTAACATTAAGGAAGCAAGATTGCCAAGGTTTGTCATGTCATGTCGTTTTGACATTTGCTATTGATAATTAGACAAATGTAAACAATAAAATAATATTTTCATAATTTCATGCGGATGAAGCCGCACGGGAACAGCTAGTTCTTGATAAAAATAATTTTCATTTCACATCAAAAATTCCTTTTATGATGTTTACATTAACTTAACTGTGTCTTTCATTTCATCCGTTCGCCCAAATTAAAAAAAATGGTGGAAAGTTATCAAATCAAGTCAGAAAGGTTAACTTACCTCAGCATCTTCTGGATTGTATATAGCAACAATTTTCTTATTCCCGATTTGTAATTTAAATAACTGTTTATATTTTTGTGTTAACTGACGGAAATAATAAAACGCGAATACTGAAAACAGTGTTTATTTTAATTCAATAAGTTAGAAGCATAGGAAAATTGACTACAAAGTTGCTTAACACAATTCAATTAGTCTTAAGTAGATAAAATAAAGATGGTATGTAAACGGAGAACTTAATTCTGTATTATTCTTACACCTTACATACTCCTAAAGAACTTGCAATCGATAGATACATCTTACTAATATCATAAATACGAAAGTTTAGATGGATGGATGTTTGTTAGAGTTTGTAGCCAAAACGGCTGAACGGATCTCGATGAAATTTAACATAAACGTAGAAGATAATCTGGAAGAACAGATAGGCTATTTACTTCTCTTTTTAGAATTCCACGCGGACGTAGTCGCGGGCGAAACCTAGTTACAAAATAAAAATCACTGTTTTTTATAATATGTATAGATAGAAATGCAAATCAAGGTCTTTTTGTTCATACAACATGTTTTATTATAACATTTGACAAAACAAGAACATTCTCTAATAACTCAAATTTTCTCACCAGGTCCCTCTAAGAAATCCAAAGTATTGTGTAATAAAAACAATCCTTTTGGTCCCGGTATTTTGTCAAAGTCCTCATTTTTGTCCACTTTATAATAAATGATCAATGCCAGTAACCCTGCCGTAAAACACAATAACAACCACAACATTATTGATTTTATTGAAAATATTAGACTTGCAATAAACCTTACGGCGTCATGTGTTTTAATACTGAATGAACTAAGGAGATCGTGTGTTTTAAACCTGCTTTTATAGCATTGTAAAATGCTTATTAAGACAAGGTTTTTTTTTACGTTTTACACGAAAGGTTTTGTTCGATTCATGTTAAGAAACTATTTTATTTTATGTTAAAACACTATTTTATTTTTTTGCAATAATTATATGTATTGTTTGTATATACATATAATTATTGCAAAAAAAATAGTGTTTATAACCTATTTAAATTACCACCTGTAGGTGGTTTATAGCAGGCAGATCCGAATAGAGTTAACAGTCTGACGCATACCCCAAACTACGAGATCTAGAAATTTGAATTTGTACATTGAGTTTTCTGTTAGTACATAAGCGAGAAGTACTCGTAATAAAGGATATTACGATATCCCCTAAAGGTCTAAAGACGTGTAGTGTGAAACTCTCATTTAGATCAAAACTTGTCAACTAATAATTGTGGTATCTGCCATCAGATGGTGTCCCCGCGGAACATCCTATAGCTGTAATGTTTTTTCGCAAATTGTAATAAGGGGCGTAAACAATATTTTAATGTATGATTGTTTTGAAATTCCCACGATCATAAATTATTTTTTTAAATCACACAAACGCTTTATTTAATGTTATAATGTGGAATTTTTATGGTTGTCTATTTCCACTATCAGAAACTAAGAACATTTCTTCTAAAGGTAAAATGGTTGCTAAAAAAACAAATTTAAATAATGTATATACAAGGTACAGTGAACTCAATTTTTACTGGTACTTTTATATATGTTTAGTTCGCCATCTCGTGTCCTTATTTGACATGTAATTTAACATTTCACAAAATTATAATAAGCTCCATCTATTGTTAAAAAGTGATATAAAATAAAATATTAAGATTTAAATAAATGCATATATTTATCGTTCATACGCTAGTCATATAAAGGAATAATTTGTCATTATTATTGAAATATTTATAGCAGTATCGTATCAAATAAATCCCGAAAAAATTAAGTCGCCACATTTTATTTAACGACATCTATTGGCGATAAATTTAAATACAATTAACAATATTGAGCTGTTTTACAGATATGTGGTTTTGCGGATCTATCAACAGATAACGTGCTCTTCAAATTACTTTACTACAAATTAAATTACCTAGGAAATAAATTAATGAGTTAGAAAATTCGAGATTCTTATCATTTTCATTTTCATTACTCCATAGACGCAAATAATTTCTTTTATACTGAATGTTAAAATATTAGGACAACAAATGTAATAAAACATATGTATAGACTATTTACATATTTACATTCCACAATAGCATTCATGACTGTTTTCGTAAAGTTTACATTATTTAGAAAAAATTGCATGTAACTAACTATTATTTTTTTTACATTCGGTCAGTTCCCATTGTATGCAAATGTGTTTCTTCAAATAAACTTGATGTTGGTTACGGCCATTTTAAATTTATCTTTGCGTATTTGTAGTTAAATTTTTACATCCTGATATTTCAACGTTGGTTCTAAATTTGCTGGTAATAGAATAATTCAATATGTTATACTAATGTAATAAAGCGTAAACACACAGTACTTTGCAGCGTAAGATGTCAACAATCACAGCATATTTTTTAATTATTATAAAAAGAAAAATATAAAAACCTTAACGTGGGAAAGGGACTATAAGCTACAAGCTGCCAACATCATGGAAGTAAGATTGTCAATCTTTGTCATCATGTCATGTCATTTTGACATTTGGAATTGATAATTTGACATGTGTAAACAATAAAATAAAGTTGAAGCGGAAGAAGCCGCCCAGGAACAGCTAGTGTTATCATAAAAATATTGCTTATTGTCAAAATGTGTGCGTTTACTAATTCTCACGATTTGCACATATTAGACAGCAAAAAAAAAACAATTACATCCTGCGTGGAAACGTAACAAAATTCTCAAAATTAAACAATCTTAACAGTTTCCACTGCCCAAATGTTTGTACAAGAATATATCATTATCTCTTTCATTCGATCTTTAAGAAATGAGCAAACGATATGTCAGAGTATCGATGCTTGGCTGTACTCTGTATTACGGAGTATGTTGTTAATCTTACGGACTCTGAAGATTTTAAATGAAAAATGAATAGCCAATTAAGTCTTCAATTAAGACACATAAAATTCTCACCAGTTTCAGATATATAGGTAACTAGCTTTCGCCCGCAACTCCGTCCGCGCGGTACAAAAAAAAAACAAAAGCAAGTAGTCTATGTTTTCATCTAGACTATCCTCTACATCGATGCCAAATTTCATTGAGATCCCTTCAGTCATTTAGGCTACAAACTCTAACCAACATCCATCCGTCCATCCATGTAAGCATTTATAATATTAGTATGAAGTATGATTATGCGTGAGATGAGTAGATATAAATTCTAGTTTACATTATTAATAATGAAAACTGGCAATAATTATTATTCATAATTTTAGCACCTGCTTTTATACGTTTAAATGACGTTGACCTTTAGCGATTATACTTTACAAAAAATATTTTTAGTACAGATACATGCACAAAAACATCATATTTCTATTTTACAGAATGAGAGCATTCTCATCTTCACATTTTTTATATGTTCGGCTGTTTTTTTATGTTGGCAAGTCATCACAGAATACAATTCCAGTAGCCTTTATTTATTCTGTAACTATTTAGATTGTATAAAATACAAATTTTATTTATCTTCAACTTCGTTTATGTTTTTCTAAAGCACTTTAAATTTAAAAACGACATGCATATACACTTTTTATTGTATCAAGGTATTTTTTAGTAGTTTAGGATAACTGCCTATATAGGATAATTTTGGTACACTAAATAACGTTTGTTTATCCAATTTTTGTGACATTTAAAAGTTCAATTCGGGTTATATTTTTTTTATTTCAGGAAGACCAAAGTATACTTCGTTGAGTTCGTGTGAACTTCGGTTGTACAATTAATAATGACGCTTGATTTGTATAACTTATTAATTTAACTACGCGCTGAGTCGTTTCATGGTTACTTTGCAGCCAGTGCAAATTTCTATACTGAGTTTATACTAAAGATCATTAAGAATCTGAGAGTTATTCGATTTAAGAAAATTATATTAACAGTTTTCAGTTATCGATACATTTATTAAGATATGTTTTTCCAAATATTAAGATAAATTAGCGTCAAAAAATACGTACCTTTGCTATCTATACTAACACTATAGATGTAAAAATTGTATTTATCGATTTTTGTATGTATTGAAATAACTGAACAAATACTTTCTAAAACTCTTTCACTATTTAAAAGCTACGTTACCTGTAGCATAGGTCATGTTGTTAATTATTGTTTAATTTCACGCGGCTAAATTCGCGAGCACCAACTAGTCTAACAAAAAAATATTGATCGAAGTTAATTTAATAAGAACTGTATTGATTTAAAACATTACGTCATCGATACGAAGTTCATCTATTAGCGAGTTTCTTGAGTATAATTTTCTTTATCTATGAGTTGTTAGTAAAAAAACACTTTTTTATTTATGGTTTCCTAGACTATGTTTTATTTATTCATCTAAAAGTCAATCTAGGACAAGTATAAAAGTAATTTAATAGCAACGACTTTATCCACGTGTTTTTTTTTAAATGTCCTTCAAAGTTTATCTTGCACTACGTGTGGCAAAAGCTTTAATTACAAATTATTTTTATAACCTAAACCTAATAACAAATTCGCTTTACGTTGTTAATAAGTTTGATTTTAAAAAATAATTACAAAAGATTAAAAAATGACATGAATCCAAATTACAGTGTAGAAATAAATATATAAAAGCAATGATATTACATAATACTATACTTAGGGCCTGTCCCACCACTGGCTGATAGAGGCTCAGATATCTTAAAAATGACGTAACTCTCAGATAAGGTGACAAAATCCGATATTTTTGTCATATATTTTACATATTTGATTATCATAACACAGGCCCTTAGATTCCTAATTGAAGCATAAATGTACATATCTAAATAATGTTACTAATATTATAAATGCGAAAGATGGATGGATGGATGGTTTTTTAGAGTTTGTAGCCTAAACGGCTGAACGGATCTCGATGAAATTCGGCATAGATGTAGAGGATACTCTGAAAGACCACACACACACACGCATATACTCACTTTTGTTTTTTTTTTTAATTCCACGCGGACGGTGTCGCGAGCGAAAGCTATGTTATAAATAAGCTATATTATATTGCTATATTATGTTGTTATTGATTAGTATAAAATATAACGGTGTCCCTATCATTGCAGATATACTTTTGAAGAATCTGTGAAGGATACTTTGGGTACGAATTTTAACATGATTAAAAGTTTGTACTTATTAGAAATTTACCAAGACTTTAACTAACTTCTAAGAAAAACCCTAAGCAGGAGTTCCGTATCGTAATATAACTAGTTTATGACAGACCAGTTTAAAGATCTTTTACATACTTGAGTATGATTTTTGGTTAAATTTGAAATTGTAATGTGATGACGCCTTTATTTCGCTAGGCTTTTTATATTAGGTATTTATCCTGACGTTATATGTCGTAATGTCAATGTTACAACTAATTTCAAACCATATTGTATTATAATCAAGGTTATCGTCCATCGGGTCCGACATGTTACGACTAGGCGTGCTTTTTAGCCTTTCATCTAAATAAATTAGTGGGCCCAATCATCTACTAGTGATTAGTAAGAAAGATCTGTGAATAGCGAGTGAAATAGATAAATGTCTAAGATCCCTAATTTAAATCGCATGGTTTTTACATACGGCTAAATTGCTACAAGATATTTTTTTTTATTTACAGTGTAAATGTTCTGTTACGAAATCTCTGTGATAGTACACAATATATCACAGTTTGGCTTGTTTGTCAATACAGTCTATTATAATATTATCTATATTTTCGTAAAGTTCCATTACCGTCATGTTTGTATTAAGCAGTGTGGTAGTCTCTTTTTATTTAAGGAACAAGAGAGGGATGACAAACAGTTTTTACACAAGTGTAACCACGGTGGGAACGCACGGTTACTATAGTTAATAATAATTGTATAGTAGAGGGCAAGTGCATACAAACGATAAAGACTTTATCAAGTGGCTCTGTTCTCATTAAATTCTACGCCAGTTATGTTTGTTCCTCGACGACGGTAGCATTGTTTCAGAAAAAAAATGTTATTTTTCCTTTTATATTTTGCTGCGATTTTATTAATTCTTCATATTTTGTTGAATTATAATAGAAATGCAAGATTGCTCAGGAAAATACCTGGATTAAAGGATCATTTTATTGTTGGAGATGCTTTAGCAGGAATTAAATCTCCAGGTAATTATTTTTATTAACTATTTTAAATTACTTTTTTTTAGAAAACATTTTGGTTGGCATCTTTAATTTCACACATTAATTTACTAATTAACAGTGTGTTTGTTTGCGATAGTAAACATATTGCGTTTCAATGCATATGCAAATTTTCTTTTCAATGATTGCATAATTCTTTCAGTAAATTCTTTTGGAATTCACTTGTTAAGGTTATTTCCTAGGACTTTTTTTTTAATGCAATGCATAAAAGCAAATTTTAAAAATACATTTAAACTATTTAAGGCACTACAAAAACCCACAAGGTTTACGCGTACCCACTGGTAATTAAAATGAAACTTTTATATTCAATCTGGAATTTAAAATTATTTTTATAAATTTATTAATAAACTAAAAATAACTTATTAAAATAATTTTTAATAAGTTATTTTAAATTGATGAATTAATGTAATATATAAATTGGCATTATCTAAATATTTTTTCAGATGGTGTCTAGTGAATATTTGTTACAGTGATTAATATAACCAATAATTTTCTTTTACTTTTATAGTTAAATTTTAAACTTTTATAGTTAAATTGTTTTATATCATGTAACACTTCTAACATTTTTGCAAGTTCATAATGTACTCTTTATTGTTTACTAGCTGTCGCACGCAACTCCGTCCGTGCATTTTTAATTAAAAACAGTATCCTATGTGTTCTTGCATGTTATGTTCTACATCTATGCCTAATTTCAGTGATATCTGTTAAGCAGTTCTGCAGTTACGTAATAAGAAATACATACGTACATTTTAACATATGTATAAAGTTTAAGTTGGAAGTAAAATTACCTATTAAAACCAGAGCGCTAAAGAAACATATCAAAATTTGTTAAGGCGATGAACATCGCCATTTAGTAAACATTTAGTTAAGTTTCATGATTTTTTTTTTATAAAAAATCAACTGTATTAACATAATCATAATTAGATTAATGGAGTACTGATAATTTACAAACATACTGGCTATCTTATTAAATTATGTTATCAGGACCCTCGCAACTTATAAGTAAAATTGTAAACAAATTGGTAATATTTAAATACTGATAACTAACAAGCATGTATTGTAAAAAAAAATAAAAAAACATACACACGAATTGAGTACCTCCTTCTTTTGGGAAGTCGGTCAAAAATGCAGAATCAAGCCGTCTAAATGAAAATCCGTCTTAATCTTAACCTCAATAGGTGTGTCTTACTTATTTCTATGAAGTCAGAAAGTACATATATTAAATACTAGCTGTTGCCCGCGACTTCATCCACGCAATATTTAAAGTAGCCTATAATGTGCCCGTCAATGTCAGCTACCCTTCAGTGTAAGTTCGGTCGAAATCGGTCCAGTCGTTTCGGAGATTACCCGGAACAAACGCGGCTTGCGGACAGACAGACAAAAAAGATTTTCGTTATCAACAACGCAAATACGTCATCTTCCCGAAATCTGGAATTTTTCATTTGTTATTACAAACAGACACTCCAATTTTATTACATTTGTAGAGAAAGTCACCATTTAGAGTAATTTCAGAAGCTCTTGGTATGGACATACGTGAGTTGACGAAAAGATGTTCAGGTCAAATGCAGATCGCCAATGTCATTATATTACCTATAAAACCAATGTTAAGTCGTAAGGTTAACCAGGGTCGACGGTTAAAAAGAACAAATCGATTTACTGACTTATTATTCGAAAGTAATCGATAAATCGAAGTTGGTGGATGAATAAACGAAATTATACGAGTGCCCTTTTGATTAAAATTGAAGTGCCTTTCGCCCTTTCGTCCTTTCGCTTAAAATATTTCTTTGTACTCGGAGATATTAAAATCTTTCCTGGTTATTAAATCTGTCATACCTTCATTATCATAATAACTTCCTATTAATTTAAACTAGTATTTTTATCGTTTATGACGGTTTAAAATTTCAATTTGTAATGTATGAATAAGAATGAAGTTCAGAGATAAATACGCTTAAACACGTGTACGCTCTATTCTGATGTAAAAAATACAGAAAGAGATAACTCTTTCTGTATTGTCTATCTGTATTATCTCTTTATGTCAAAAATACATTTATGCTGTAATTTGATCGAACATTAGTGTAATTAGTTAAAAGGCTCCTGTCTCGTTTATAGTAGTTAATTGTATCAGAAATTCAATAGACATTTTCATTTAAAATAAAAAAAATATTATTTTATGTAGATTTGTAACGCGCCGAGTTTTTTTTATAGTACTATTTAATTGTATTTATGTTGCAGTGGAACTTTTTCGTTTCGGAAGAGAATTGGCAAAGAAACACAATGGCATATACAGATTCTGGTGTTTCCCACTTGGTGCTGTTTTTATATACAATCCAGATGACGTTGAAGTAAGCGGTTAAGTTATCATTGTATTTGTGATATAATTACTCTTTTAAACATTTTGTTACTACCCACAGATCATTCTGACCAGCATGAAATATCACGAGAAAAGCATAATATACAAGTTTTTAAAACCTTGGCTTAACGATGGACTGTTACTAAGTGGTGGTATGTAAAACATATTATTTATTGAAAATAAACGTATTATGCAATTATTATAAAAGTAAAAGTGAAATGGTCTGATGACACAAGGGTATCATCATCATCATCACCAGCTCACTACACGTCCCCACCGAGGGCCTCGGAGCCTACCCTAAGTTAGGGTGACAAGGGTATATAAATATGCTAATAAATATGTTTTGCGTAGACGATAAAAAAATAAAATAAACCCTTTTAGGAAGCCTTTTCCAAACCTAACAATTGATATTTATTGCAATAATATCCTGTGGTAAAAGAAACTATTCTTTTGATTGCTTCATAGATGGATTTGAAGATTCTTTGTACTGGTTTTTGTGAGAAGGGTAATATTGCAATAACAGAAAATCTGTAATTAATAATTAGTATTAACTTATTAGTACAAACCTGGCGGTGTTCCGTGGTGGCCGACTTAAAGGCAATCGGGATGTCATGGTCCGAGACCAAACGCAGAGCCCAGGACAGAGCTAGCTGGCGGCGTACTGTGGACGCCTTCTGCCCCACTTTAGGGACATAGGAAAAGAAGACTAACTCATTAGGACAATATTTTTTACTTGAGATAAAGATTCATCATATGTTTCAGGATCTAAATGGTTACATCGCAGGAAGATTCTTACACCGGCTTTCCATTTTAACATTTTACGTCAATACCTCGTGAGTCTGGAGGATAGCGCCAGCCGGCTAGTCGACACAGTGAATAAAGTTCTGAACGATGAAGTCGACTTGGTACCTCTTATATCTGAATGCACACTTCAGAGCATTTGTGGTATGTGTACTCGTTCTGTCTAAAAGTGTTCTGTCTAAATAATACATAATATTTTGTTAATTTAAAACCAAAAACCCGATCGATTTTAACCCAAACCTAACGAAAGAAATCTAATACGAATGACTCTTTCTTCATTACAAATTCAGTCTGTATATAGCAAGCAAGCACATATTTATTACACTTTCGTACATGATTTTTAGAGACAATATAAAGACAATGAAGTCTCATAGTTAATGTATCGTTTGCAGTTGTCAAGTTTAACATATCACGTAACAAAAAGTGTAATCTGATGTCTGTACCACAAGCGAAAGAAAACTTCCATTCATTTCTAATCTGATATAAAGATGCTTCTTGTCGATAGCAATTGCAAGTAAGAGTAGAAAAAGTTAGACGTTACGTGTAAATGTTGATATATTTGAAAAAATATCTCAGTGGATAAAACAAAAAAAGTAACAAAAAAACTTTAACAGATAAGATATTTTTTTAATTCGTAGTTATTTTTAAAAATTGTTATCAAAAACAAACGATAGAGTATATTTTCGGTGTGAATTTATAATTTGTTGTTATTAGTCGGATATTATTATGTACAGAGCTGTTGTCCGCAAACTTCGTTAGCGCGGAATTTAAAAAAATAGTTGTCATTCCGGTGTGCATCTTCTACTAACTAATGGTAGTTAGTTAGTTAGTTAGTTAGTTAGTAGTTTGTCTGGATGGCCAGACAAAGTGCTATCAAAATTGGCTAAGCCGTTTCGGAGATTATACGGAACAAACGCGGATTGCGGAGAGACAGACGGACAGATAAATTTTTTAAATGCGATTTTCATTATCAGCAAATAAATCACCTTCGCGAAATATGGAATTATTTTTTTCAATATTACATACAGACACTCCATCTTTATTATATGTATATAAGATAATTAATATACATTTGGTACATTGTATGTATACTATTCATAGTATCAACACTATCATGTTTACCACCTAGAGGTTATAAAAAGGTTATTTAAGATAATTTAAATAATTACTTGTTTGCGTTTCCTTAATTCATCAAAACATTCAAATATTCGGTGTTAAATTAAATAAAATACGATGCACAAAACATTATTATTCAATATTTTGTGCTAATAATTGCTTGCATGTTTGTCATTTTGTCTTAGTTATTAAATACATTACATATGGTGTTTTTTTCCTTTTTTTACTTAATGCTAGAACAATGACATAATTATTGAGCACATTAGCTTAATATACACTAATTGTATACTGAATAGTGCAACATTATATATCAGTATCTGATAATGGTTTAATAGCAATAAATTATTACAGAATCCGCAATGGGCACTAAACTCAGTGACGACACAACGGGGAAGTCATACAAAGAAGCAATTCACAAGCTAGGATTTTTATTAGTCCAAAGATTTATCAAAATTTATCTATACGCAGATTTCTTTTTTAATCTGTCCGCTCTTGCAAAGAAACAAAACAAATATCTCTCCATTGTACATAATTTCACTCGTAATGTTATAAAAGAGAGAAAAAAATACGTAAAAGACAACGGAATATGTTTATCAAATACTATAAATGGTAATAATAATGATTATCTAAATATTTATAGTAAGAAAAGAAGGACTGCGATGTTGGATTTGTTGATATTAGCAGAAAAAGATGGTTTAATAGATAGTGCTGGTATTGAAGAAGAAGTCGACACTTTCATGTTTGAGGTAACACACTGCTAATTCTTACTTTAGAGCTTCAGATAATGTTAAAAATCATTTAAATTTTCTTTACAGGGTCATGACACAACGGCAGCAGCTTTAACATATTGTTTAATGTTAATCGCTAACTACCCTGACATTCAGGTACGTATTTTATAATTATCTTCATCATAATTCTTCGTTATCCTTGTCAGTATAATTTCCATTGTTGTCTGAGCTGTGCATTCACTTGATTTCCTGATACGACAAGGAACACCTGAACTACTTTCTCTTTAATTGCATCCATAAACATTCTTCCTGACATTCCTCTTTACCTCTCTTTTTGATCGACTTCCCAATGAAGGAGGTACTCAATTCGTCTGTATACAGAATTTTTTATTATTTTTTATTTTTGTTACGGCATAACACCGCCGCTAGTGGACCGATTTTGATAATTCTCTTTTTATCCGAAAGGTAGTGCTTGCAGGTAGGTCCCATTTTTTTGTTTCATTTTTGGAGTCAAAACTAGTTAGAAGTAGTTAAATAGTTTATCTAAAAATCTCTTGACGAAATTTGGGGTATTTTTTGCTTTCTTTGCTTATATCGTACATTTATCTTTTTTAATTAAATTTGTGATCTATTCTTTCTTTATTATATTGAGTACGTATTGTTATAGAATAAAATAGTAGCGGAATTAAAAGATATATACGGTGAGACAAAACGAGCACCTACAATTGAGGATCTTAATGCGATGCGGTACTTGGAGAGATGCATCAAAGAAGCGATCAGACTGTACCCGCCAGTGCCTTTTATCAGCCGTAAACTAAATGATAGTGTCCAACTCAGTAAGCAATTTGTTAATACTCTATGCTTGCATTGTATTTCCTGATAAGCAGATATGAATAGCTTTACTATTTAGGTATTCAGCTAAGTCTAAAGGCATATTATTAATCGTAACTGAATTCACTAATTAGACATCAAAGACAATTGTGACTTATTATTAGTCTTTGTAGGTAATTACACAGTACCAGCTGGAACATTATGCCACATTCACATTTATGATTTGCATCGACTGGAGAGTTTGTACCCGAACCCTTTGAAGTTCGATCCGGACAGGTTTCTGCCGGAGAATGTTGCTACGCGTCACAACTACGCCTATATACCGTTCAGTGCTGGACCCAGAAATTGTATAGGTATGTGTATAGGTGGATTTTATACTATTTACACTAATGCCACTGTTCCTCATAAAAAAATAAAATATCGAGACAATGTCCAAGTAGAGCGCAAGCAAATTATTTATTACAATTTAAAAGTAATTGTACGTTTATTTTGGCATTAACAGCCATTCTTTAAGTATTTTGAAATTCGAGTAGTGGTTTATAACCGCGTAGAAGTCAAACACACAAAATTGTTTTTTTATGTAATTGTACTTATGCATGATAATAATATTTCTAGGACAAAAGTTTGCAATGATGCAGATGAAAACTGCAGTGTCCGCCATCTTGCTTAATTTCAAATTGCTCCCCGTCACTGGCTGCGCAGATCTGCAGTTCCAATCTGATTTAATATTAAGAAACTCGAAGCCGGTGTATGCGAAATTTGTAAAAAGGGAATAAAGGAATAATCAAATTATTTTATATTAATTATAATCTTTAACTGTGTAAGCTTTTTATGTTTTATTTAGTCTACTAAGAGAAAAATAATTAAATGTTCTGATATTTTTTTTGTTCTTTGGGTTCTTCATAGCAATATCATAAAATTGATCCTCCCTACAGTCAGTTCATTGTGAGACAATATTGGACGTTTAAAGCAAGCTTCTTATCATGAAATCAATAAGTATCCGAACATTATACTAGTACACGTGGGTGAAATATAAAGACGAACTATTTACAAAAAGCAAAAGCAAAATATACTCAAGTAATTGACAAGCTGACAACGTGATGTCATGTTTATCTACAAATGATTACATTATTTACAAATACAGCCTTTTACAGAATGTACAAGTTCTTGTAAAGAATTACAAGCAAATCCAGATTACTTATATAATAGTTTGATCAAGCTGAGTCTGTTGCTGTTTTCAAAAGGATAACAAAGTTTTTTTTATAAAATTTAAATTATACCGTTTTCCAATATGTATAAGAAGTTAATTGACGTCATGTAAGTACTACAATGTCCTCACTAGATGGCGCTGCATGTTTACAATGATAACACACCTGCGATATATTCGCAGACTGATAACGTTATCAGTATATAATTCGACAAATCTAAACCAGACATAACAAAATGGAAAAATTTGTGATTGCAGTGCTAACTTTGTATGTTTATAATTATGCTGCAACTACAGTCAACATTTTTTTTGACCGACTTCCCAAAAGAAGGAGGTACTCAATTCATCGATATGTTTTTTTATTTTTTTTAATAACGATGTTCTTATGTGCAAGTTTCGGCAATGGGAACCCACGATTAGAAGAACAAAGATTAAAATAATTATAGTGGTAGTATACCATATCAAAGTCGTCGTGCACTGTCGTCTAAGGTCAATGATTATTGTTTTTATAATTATTGGATATTTTAAGCCCAATATAATTAGCTTTGCAACGTATTTGAAACATCTACAATTATAATCAAAGTTTACAAGTGAAACTGAACATTCCCTAATTACACACAGTTAACTCTCTATTAACAGAAAACTATTTTGATTCAGTTTTTAAACAAACTTCGTAAAAACATCGCATAAAAGTCTCGTGACAAGAAAGCGCTCATTCAAAGATCTTTTTAACAGCGTTGACCTAAATTAATAAAGAAATAGACGGTGGACACACCAAATATAAGTACGCATACACCGACGTTGGCAGTCCCAGAAGTCGTTTATTTATAAACGATAGACTGAAAAGAATGGCTCAGTTGAGCGTGCGCGGAAGCGTCGAACGATTCGCGCGCCCGTTGTTGCGAAAAGTTTCCCAAGTTCCCTCACAGCCCTCGACGCCACGCCTGCCCTTGACTGTTATGAGATATTTGACAAAAGACAGCTACGAAAGCTTCATTATGGAATGTGACAATGATTTTGAGGTAATTTAACATAAGTACACGTTTCTTTAATACTAATATTATAAATGCGAAAGTTTAGATGGATGTTTGTTGAGTTTGTTGCCTAAACAGATGAACGGATTTCGACGAAATTTGGTATAGATGTAGATGATAGTCTGGAAGAACACATAGGCTACTCATATTTGTTTTTTTTATTCTCTGTGGACGGAGTCGCGGGCGAGACTAGTTGGATTTAGTTCTAAATGTTCCTTCGGATGGAGTCATCTCATAGCCGATAGAAATACTACTACTACTAATACTAATTTAATGATTTGTTAAACTTTGTATAGACAGAACTTTTTCAAGTGTTATAAAAATGTATAATTTTTTTTCCACACTGAGTCCATATAGTTATTATTTTATGACAAGGTAATGGTCGATTAAAAAAATACCGTTAATTGTTTTCGTCATTGAAAAGTTTCAATTAGTCAAAATTAAGTTTTGTAGTCAATTATCATGGGAGAAGTTTTATGAGAAAGCTTAAAAGTTTAGTCAATAACATAGATGTTATAACTACTGAGATGGAGATGGTATTTCGCTTCGACAGCAGTTTATAGTACCGAACAAATACGAACAAACAATTGTTCTTAGTTGAAAGGGAAGGAAAATGATGAGGAAGGAAATATGTTAAACTTTACAATGATGTAAACTTGACTTTGAATCTAGTTCATAATTCGGAAACCGGAAAAATAGTTATTCAAATTGATTGATTGTAAATAATCTCTCAAATGAGAGAATAAAAAAGTAGAAGAAGAGAGAATATAAAAAGGTACAAACATAGACGTATGACGTAAAACCACACCTACCATGTAAATTTGTTGATGCCAAGTTTGCCTTTGGTCTACGTAACACGAGCTTACTGAGTCATAGAAGCATGAACGATTTTGTTTATACATGCTTCTTTTATATTATAAATACTGACATGTATCGTTACATTGTTGCTATAATAATAACCCTACGTCTTTGCAAATACAAATTAATTGCTTAATACACTGTACAAAGTGTTTAAAAATACAATTTGATTTCTAACATTTTCAGAAATGTCTTCAGAGACGCGTCCGTTCGTATATATCCTTTTATTTCATTCTTTCAAAGGATATTTTCTTTCAACTGATCCTTGGAAAAGATAGAAGTAAATCATCAACGTTCATAGAATACATTAAAAGACAACATTGTCGCTAATATAGATTGCTATCTTTAGAGCAATTTATATCATTTCTATTCAAATAGTACGTATACAATTAATAAAATAAGACAATGACTATAAATGAAGACAGAAAGAAGCTATTTATATCTCTGACCCTTGCAATAAATGATTGACTGGCTGATTGCTCACTGAAATTGAACATGAAGCTTTGCTATTCCAATTTTTTTTTAAATATGAGGTGGCAAACGAGCAAGCGGCCACCTGAATCCACCGAAATGGAAAGCGACCGCTGCCCATAAACATCCGCAATTGCAGATGCGTTGCCTACCCTAATTGACGGAGGAGGAGACGCAGATAAAGAGGACCTTTCGCCTTCCTATGCGTCTCCTCCACCGTCAAATCCACTTTTCCCTGCTATCCTTTCCTCTGAAGAAAAAAGTGGAAAGGAAAAGGGACTAAAACTAGGCCTCCGGCACCACACTTATCAGACGAAACGCGAAATTGCTTCCACTTCAATCGTGCGAAGATGTTAAAGCGGGCTTTATATAGAGTTAACGATATTTTGATTCGTTTCGAAGTTACTTCTGTGGTCTCTACCAACCAACACTTCAATCAGACAAACAGGTCATCAGAATAATTCTCGCAGTCTTTAGAGCTTACTACTACTTCACATGTTTACGTCCTTTTTCACGAATTTCATTGAAGTCGTTTAGTAAGTAAAAAATAAATCTAGGTGTCAGAGTGAGTAGATAAAAAATATCATTTCACAATTGATAAAATTGTGAAGTAAAGCGAACGTAATAAAATTAAGCCGTTATCAAGATACGAGCATACATCACATTTTGGGAAAACAGTCGACGTGTATGCAAGGTAAACATCAGTATTAGATAAAGTCGTGAGTGAGGGGCAGGGGAGCCAGTTAGCGCGTGCGCGTTGGTTCAGCGCGATAGAGCGCCCCTCGGCCTTGTCTTCTGTCGTCGAACGCCGCGATGAACAGCCGCCAGCTCCGCCGCCTGCTCGCCGCCCGACCCTCGCTAGCTCTCCCGGAATGCGTCCGAACACGCCGCTATAGTCAAGTGAGACCGGTATATGTCATAGAGCGACCTGTGAGTGTCTTGTGTTATGTCATTTACTCGTACGTGCTTACTGAACTATGCCTATGGGAATCTGTTCGTTTGTCGTCTTTTCATGTGCTTTTTTCTAATGTTTCGTTACTTTAATCTCTATTCGAAATTTGTTTCAGAAATGGCGAAATTCAACACCGAATTTCTACGCCCTTCAGTCGATAGATATGAGGTGAGTTTTTTAATTGACTATGTATAAACAAATACATTGTTTAAGGAAGAGTAAGGTTGCTCCAATGACGTCATAGGTCGAGTAGTCAATATTGGAAATAAATTGTTTCCAATGATACGCATCAACTTCTATTGATCTATGTTAAACTTTGGCCGTCACAGTTATGGAAGTTGGTGGCGCTGTGGTGCATTAATTGACCCTTGACATTTAAACGTTCGTTTAAGCTTTCGTTAACATTTATAATAAGAGTTTTAGGGACAATTTAAACAAGTCTTATCTTTATGTGCAATACGTGAAGAATTTTTCGGATTGTAAAATAAAAAATATGAATGTCTTCGACTAAGGCTAATAAATGTTTATTCACGTTTCATGCTGCAGAGCCTACTCTTTCGTGCACAACCTCGATCCGATATTGTGAGTACAGGACGACCTGCATCCCTATGTGTTAATTTAGAAGTGTTTTAGTTAATGTTTCCTAGTAAAATATATTGTTTGGTGTGGTTTTGTATTGCACTTTTTATTTGCGCCATAATCCATGGCAACTGGCAGTTATTCGTGACTGAATATGATAGTATATCTGGAGATGGCTGAAAATAAGCGCGTCAGGTGATTTGGAACATCTGTGAAGCGATACGTCAACGACACACCCGCCTACCGCGTCACAAGTGATAATTACATGACTACGTCGTGATGATAGATGTGTCCTAGCATATTTGCATAGAAAATTCATCCAACAATATTATCACGATTCATTTTTAGTTGTTTAACAGATTGTTGCTAATCGCTTGTTTCTACAGACTGTACTGTAGTGTTATAATTGCATGATATCGTGATCCGTATTAGCGTAAACACCCACCCTATATTATAATTTTCGATCGTTATTCCGCAGGGTACGCGAGGGCTCCCACAAAAATGCCGACGACGTGTTATTTGACATGTTCAAAAATGACGAAACTGGCCTTCTTCCAGTTGGAAAGTTTTTGGCTGTAAGTGTCTGTTACATTATAATTAATCTATTTTTTTATCATCACAATCTATCACACTACTATGAAAATACTACGCTGGTGTTAATTTTGTTTAACAACACCTTGAATCAATTTACAGGCTTTAAGAACAACGGGGATTAGAAAGAATGACCCACGTGTTAAGGAAGTAATGCACAACTTGTACAAAGTGCATAAGGAATCTAATTTTGAGAGCGGCTCGCCCGAAACATTGAAATTGGATAGAAAGACATTCAAAGAGGTTATAGCACCAAACATTGTTCTGATAACGAGAGCATTTCGCAGTCAATTCGTCATACCAGACTTTCAGGACTTTATAAAAGACGTAGAAGAAATCTATTGGGCAGCTAAAAGTAACACAGACGGCAAGGTCGCTAGCTACATACCTCAGCTCGCGAGAGCGTCAAATGAAAACTGGGGAGTGAGTGTATGCACGATAGATGGGCAAAGGTTTTCAATTGGTAAACATAATTCTTATCTCCACTTTGTAAAATTCTATAATTTCCATGAGCATCTTTTTAATTTCATGTTTTTAGGTGACGTCAACGTACCATTCACGTTGCAGTCATGCAGCAAGCCTCTCACATACGCTATGGCTCTTGAAACACTGGGACCTGACGTAGTCCACAAATACGTTGGCACCGAGCCCAGCGGCCGAAACTTCAATGAACTTGTCTTAGATTACAACAGTGAGTATATGTAGGAAGCGCATAACAAATGATACACCACCTAGAAAACACTTGCGCGTCTATCAAACTAAAAATAAACCGCACACTAAGTTTGTTTAGTCAATAACAACACGCAAACTCGTGACACCTAAATTATAATCGTTTGTTATACTATTTTGCTCTTTCTTTTACAGTGAAACCGCACAATCCTATGATAAATGCGGGTGCTATTTTAGTATGCTCATTATTGAAAACGCTCGACAAACCGGAAATGACATTGGCGGAAAAATTCGACTATGTTATGTCATTCTTCAGTCGTCTCGCTGGCCATGAAGTTTTGGGCTTCAATAATGCTGTATTTTTGTCTGAGCGCGAAGCCGCGGATAGAAACTACGCGTTAGGATTTTACATGCGTGAACACAAATGCTATCCCGATAAAACTAATCTTCGTGAATGCATGGACTTCTACTTCCAGGTATTCACATTTTGAAAAGAAAATTAAAATTTAACCAAACAAGAGATAGTTTTAACTAAATAAGAAAAAACAAATGCTAACCTTACCGTTTCCTTTTTCCAGTGTTGTTCAATGGAGGCGAATTGTGATATAATGTCAATCATGGCGGCTACTTTAGCTAATGGTGGAATATGTCCCATTACTGACGAGAAAGTTCTGAGGCCGGATTCCGTCCGCAATGTGTTATCCTTAATGCACAGCTGCGGCATGTATGACTACTCGGGACAATTCGCTTTCAAAGTGGGACTGCCAGCAAAGTCAGGAGTGTCGGGAGCTATGCTCATTGTTGTTCCGAATGTTATGGGCATCTGCACTTGGTCTCCGCCTCTGGATCCCCTTGGAAACAGTTGCAGGGGGCTCCAGTTCTGCGAGGTAAGTTTACTTCGCAGGATTGATATTCTTTCAAATATATTATCTGAGACCGATTTTAAATCCGAATTAATCTTGTACAGGATCTAATCATGCGTTTCAACTTCCACAAATACGATAACATTCGTTATGCCAGTCACAAAAAGGACCCGCGTCGTTACAAATTTGAATCTACTGGCCTCAGCATCGTGAATCTCTTATTCTCCGCCGCCAGTGGTGATCTCAGTGCTCTAAGAAGGTATTCAATTGCAAATATAACAACTGATTGTTTTGATTATAAAACAGATAATGATGAACGTATTGTATAATGTTTGTCAGCAAAACTTCAGATCCGTCTCTACTTCCCGTGCCAGTGACTCCTAAATCTCAAGACTGAATAACAGTCCATCACAAGTAACTATATACGAAAGTTTTGTATAGCTACTGTGAAACATCATATATCATTCATATTTAAAAAAAGCAAACGTGCTTAAAGATTTCTTTGCATTCACTTGGCTTCTCCGAAATCTTATTTACACAATACTTTTAAATAGTGACGCGCTTTTCTGTAATTCCTTAATTTCAATACAGTTAGATTTATCTGTTAAAACATTCCAGTTCTAATTGATTTCTTTTTAGGCATCATCTCTCCGGTATGGACATGACGCTTTCTGACTACGACGGGCGTACAGCATTACATCTGGCTGCAGCCGAAGGACATTTATCTTGCGTTGACTTCCTCCTCGCTCAATGCTCGGTGCCTCACGACCCTCGAGACCGTTGGGGCAGTCGTCCATTGAACGAGGCCGAGACATTCGGACACACAGCCGTAGTCCAATACTTGAAGGAATGGGAACGCACACATCCCAACGGAACAGAAGATAAATCCGAATCGGCCGTCGACGCCATCCTCGAGGTGAATCCGGAAGCAAACGACGCTGTCAAAGATCCGAGCATACAAGAAATAGTTACGCGAAACGGGGATAAAGTGCAGTAAATCTCATAAAAAGCCAAAATAATGTGTATTGTTCCATGTTAATGTTTAAAACGTATTTGATGTGTAGTATATTGGTGGCGTAAAGGCCGCTTACCCGATTCATATTTAATATCGATCATCAATACCTTTTAAGGAGCAAGTTGTCCTTGTTAATGTAGCGATTTCCATTGTTCTCTTGACTTTATGATACGGCACGACATATACTTTCTCTTTTAATTTGATCCATAAATTGTTATCACCCTTCCTTTCTTCCTCTTCCTTTTTTATTTCACATGTAAAATTGTGGTGTCGTATCATTAATAACAATACAACTAAAGATTCTTCTAGTCGAATTTTTGAGAAAAAAAGTAGATATTTGACTATAGTAAAAATAGGAAATCGAAACAATACTACGATATACTTTTTTGTAATTGATTCTATTTATATTTTTGTGCTCTATTTTAATTTTATGAACTTTTACAATTGTTTTTGGCTGTGATAAACTTTCGAATGACATACTTCTACTTTACATTTTATTTATTGTTTGTTCATATGTGTCTAGTATATAAGTAGATAGATCACAGGCATTTAATATAAAAGTATATTTTAAAATTGATGTTCCATTCTATTACAGGAGTTTATAAGTCTTTCTAAGATCTGATGTTCTGGATCATGTTTCCGCTTATCATATTTACCATTCCTACTTTTGTAGCGTGTGATTATGTAAAGGTTGGTTGCTTCTATTATTCAATTACATATAAGTGTGTTCAAACCAAACATATAGACAGCTGTTGACTATGAACATCACAGTGAGCCTTCTTATACTCAGCAGCTGTCAATATATTTGTTTTGAATATTTAAAACAACTTGTTCTACTTTAAAACTACTAAGTAGAGAAAGTTACAGGAATTTGAGTCATAAATGCATCTCAGATGAAGACAATAAGTATCTTAAATAGTAAAAGCTGAATATTGTAGTAGCTTTGTGGTTATTCCTGCCTCCAAATATATATGTCAATTAAATTGTTAAATGTTTGTTTAATTTGTTATACCCCTTCTATAAATAAAAACTTTTTACCTACTTACTTTACTTGTAAATTCATAGTTTCATAAAATCAAAATTAGGACTAGAATTAAGATTACTTTAAGCACACTGCACAACATGAGACACACTCACCTCACAGCGAAATTACACACACACCACACTAATGGACATTCCATATCAAATAGTGGAATGTCATCTTAAAAAGGATCAGTGATACACTTAATGCCTTTAGATCAAAATAAATTAAAAAAAATTATTTTACTTGCATTTCAGCTAGTATTAGATATCTCCTAAAGGATTATAAAATAAAACAATGCTGTTACTAATTTATGATTTATTTCTTATCTAATAGAAATTCTACATTAAATTATCAATTTTGTGCAACTGCTACCCGAACTGGAGATGAGAGTAAACCTAATAATTTACAATCAGCTTCTAGTAGAGTGAGATCAGTGCTGGATCCCAAAAATCTGGACGAGAGTTCAAGATCGCTGATTTGTATCCTAACTCTTGCACCCCTGACATATTCTTCTCCTCGTGTTGTAGGTCTTGTGCACACACAGTGAAATTTCCATCCAAAGTCTATATACAAATCATCATTTACTACGTGAAATATTTTACCAACAACTATTTTTCCAACGGGATCTCCTAACTGTAAAGATGAAATATATGAAGATAAGAGGAATGAATAGGCTGGATGTATGCGAAAGATAATTTAGTACTTACATCGATTAGTTTTGAATTTCGGAGTAATGCGGGAAAAGTTAAATCTTGACTGTCCTCTTGTTTCAAAATTTGTGATTGTTTTTCGTAGGCCTTCGCAAAACCTCCCGTTTTAGGATCTGAGGAATTGTCTGTATTTTCATTTGGAGTTGTAGTTACGCTACACAATCTACGGGGAATTTTAAGAATATTCGAATACTTTGCGTATTGTCGCAATCCTAAGTTAATCAACATAATAAAGTTTGTTACTGCTTCTGTTTGCAATTACGATATACAAAAGGTTATAATAATATAACCAAAAAAATATTTTTAGTAACTTTTCTTGTTTTGACTATTGACATTTCTGCAGTGACAGGGGAGGTGACAGTTTAAGTTTAGTTTGGTATCAGACTGGGTCAGGATTTAATGATTTTTTTATTGAAATAAAAAATCTACCATAATTAAAACAGAACTATTAAACTTAAAAATTACGAACAGGATAATCAGGTAAAGTATTTCGTGACAAATAATTTGATATTCTTATAACAGCGTAATTCTAGCTAATATTCAATTGCATAGTAAAAAAACAAGAACATAAAATGTATTTGTTTTTTATTTGTACATCTTTTATAACTTAAAACAAAACCATTTAAATCCATCATTATTTTAATTACACAACTAATCGGAAGTTACAAATTTTTATAATCTTTACACAGTTCTTGTTTTGTGTGAAATGTCAAGTGTCAAATCAAGTCAACGCGCACGTCAAACGTCACTAACAAATAAGTACAATTACAACATTTTGATAATGTGAATCAATTGAATAAGCTAATAAAAGAATAAAACAGAAAAATGACAGAAGATCAAGATGCTAAAGACTCCCAATCTGATTCGGGCAGCAAAACATTCGTGAACAAAAATAGAGAAACCAAAAAAGCCAAAACCCAACGGCCTCTAACCAAAGTAATTTTGACATTTGATCTATAAACTTCATAACATCTGTGTCCTATTTTGATTTGTATTTACTTGTAATTTTCAGATAATATTTCGACGATTACCTCCAACAATGACGGAGGAAGCATTCTTGGATCAAGTATCACCCATACCAGACCATGACTATTTCTATTTTGCTAAACCTGATCCGTCCCTCGGTAGTAATGTTTATTCCAGAGCTTACATAAATTTTGTTAATGTTGATGACATATATCTCTTTAGAGACAAATTTGATGGGTACATCTTTGTGGATGAGAAAGGTTTGTAAATCTTACAATTTTATTAAAAAAAATAGACCATGGAATGTTACTATGATGTATAAAATTGCAGGCCTCGAGTATGTTGGGATAGTAGAGTACGCCCCTTTCCAACGAATACCCAAGAAAAAGAAGAAAAAAGATCCTAAATGTGGGACTATTGAAAGTGACCCAATTTATCAAGATTTTATAGAGAATTTAAGTAAAGAACCTGAAACTGAGAATCAACCTAAACTAGAGTATTCATATCCAGTTAATGATGGTAAGTTAATATAAAAAAGTCATTATTTGGTATGTAAAAATGGTGTATAATTTATAACACGGCTAAATTATGTGGCAAGCTTCGGTGTAGGCACCGACCTACACCAAAGGTTGCCATGTGAGTTTAGCCATGTTATAAATTATAAAGTATAATGTCACACAAAAGTAGTAATAAGTAATAATGGTGGTTGGAATAATAATGCCCAAATACTGAAATGTCATTAAAGTATGTAACAGTGTCTTAAATGATAAGACCACACTTAATCTCCAAATCCTTTTGTTTTTGCCATCTCATATTGTAAGCATAGCTTATGTGAATTATTTTAAAGTAATTTCTGTGTTTGACCAAAAGCATTGTTTTGATTTTTTTTTAAGGAAAAGTTGCACTGTTATTTAGTAGTAATTAGGTCCGAACTGATAACTATATCTTGTTTTATAACAGAAATAAAAATTAAGAAAACAAAATTCACAAAAACTATATAAAAGTAGCTGTAGCAGATAGATCATAGACAACTCTGTATCCATGTTCAATAAATCTTTGCTCTTCTGTTTGTTCTATTCAATTGTCAGAGCATAGAATAATAAATTTTTGTTATATTTCCAGGAAATGATAAAAAAGCCCAATCAACACCTTTACTAGAGTATCTGGCTGCTCGAAAACAGGACAAACGTGGCCGCGATGAAAGACGCAGGAGAGAAAACGATAAAAGAAAAATGAGAGTTGAGAGGAAAACTAAAGATGGTACAATTAAGGTAATGTTTGTGGTATTTATATAATCTTATTAACCTATATATGTACCCCAATCCATGTATTAAGAATATATTAGATGGTTTTAAAAATCAATAAATTATTTTTATAGTCATGTAAAACATTACTGTAATGTTGCTACAACAGCCTTAAAGATTAAGCTTTTATTATATTTATAAATTGGCCAGAGGCCTAATTTTAGTCCCTTTCCTTTCCCACCATTTTTTTATACAGAAAGAATGGGAAGGAAAAGTGGATTTAACAGTGGAGGAGATGCATAGAAAGAAGAAATATCCACTTTACATGTGTCTCCTTCTCCGGTGATTATGGGTAGGCAACGCGGATTTATATTTTTATGGGCTTTGCTTTCTCGGCGAATCCTGGTGGCCGCTAGCTTTTTTGCCACCTTATAAAAATGCTTAATAATTCCACAAACTAATCATATGCCATGACTATAGTTGATAAAGTCTTTAGCCTATCTGACTTTTGATTTTAACTAGTGCACTATTTACCTAGCAAGCCGGTGACAACTCGGAAGATGATATCTACAACGATTACTATGATTGTTACGACCATAAATTTGAACAGCACAACTATTGGTATGGAGAACAAAAAGTGTATCGCAAGACAAAAGTTAAATCTGTTCCGTTATCAGATGTGAAAGGCTCTCATGGTTCTGATGAGTTTTTAAGTACAGATTCCGATTGGGACAGTCATTTTCCCGCTTTGACAATGAAAAGTCATAATACATTTACATTGACCTCAGGGAAATATTGTGATAAAAAAGAAAATCAAGGTGGTATCCCTAATAGCGGGGGTGACACATATTTTAAGGTGTTATTTTGTAGCATTTGTACCCTAATACAGTATTTTGTTTGAAAAGTAGCAGTAATGTAGAGATTAAGCCTATATTTATTTTCAGTAGTTATTTTGAAATGAGTACGGGATCTTTAACTTACAAAAATTGATAAAATGTGATTAAGAGCATATATTACATTTCAAACAATGCTTAACATATAGCAATGTATAGTGAAGTGATTATGTTAATTTCTTCGAAAACATGACAAGAATAATTTTTGACTATCTCACGGAATTAAGACCTTAAACGAAAAAAATCATGCTGTAGAAAACTAACGGATAAATGGCTATATTGTGATCACAACTTTGGTCATATAATGTTAAACACATTTTTTGTAATTTTAGATATATGCAATTACTAAAGTATTACATAAAGTTTGTTATATTTATTATATCATATTATTATTATGCTTAATCTATAAGATATGTTGTAGTAGTTAATAGTGGCATATACTTACTTTGTAAAAAAAATAGTCTAAAGTAAATTAATATAAAGTGTCGATCTTGTCAATTAACACCGTAAAAATATTTATAACGTTGAAATTTTTAGAAATAACAAAATAAATTTCAATGAAAACTACAATTATGCGTATTTCATTACAGGAGGATGAAGTAGTTGATAACGATATTAAAAAGATAAAATCCAGGGAATGGGAAAAAGAGAAATCTGTAACAGAGTCTAAAGATGACGATGTTAAAGAGACCAGAGATGGGACTGTGTTCGAGTCTAGAACATTCCGCGAGCAACGCAAACTAATTTCTACCACACTTGGAGATAAAAAGAAAAAAATGGATGGTGATAAAAAGGAATATGCACCAAAAGATGAAGATATGACAGAAGATTATGATAAGAATTTCAAGAAAGATAAGAAAGACAAATTCAAAGAATCACCGCGCGAGCAAAAGAGCAAAAAATACAGTGACACAAGAAAAGAAAGGTTAGGCAAAACTGAATTTGCGAAAACTGATAAACAAGCGGTTATTAGTAAGATGTTGTTATCTGAGAACAAAAGTAAAACTCATAATTATGACGATATTAAACCTTTTACTCAACTGCCTCAAGTAAAAACTGACGATTTAACTAGAATTATAGAAGGGATGGACAGGAAAGTTAAGTTGGATGATTCAAATGACAATAAAAAAGACGCCAACGATAATACTGAGAGCATCAGTGTTATAAAACAGAGAAGAAATAGTTTGGACTCTAATGATATACCAATGAAAGAAGAGTCAACATTAAAGCGTCAAAAATCCCTTGACGATAGAAGTAAATCTACTGATAGAGAAGAGTCTGAAGAAGTAGACAAAGGTGACAATACAGAACGTCGAGCTGAACGGAGAATTAGGAATAAGGTGAGAGATTTTATCTTAAATTCGTCTATTTATAACTAACAAGAAAAAGACAACTTTTTAACTCCAACTAGTCTTGTAGAATATTTCTACTGGCTAAAGTATGCTGGTGTTGACATTATGAAAAATTAAATTGCATATTACAGCACCTAATTAAAAAGTATTGTAATTTTTTATTTTCCTTCCTTCAGGACCGCCCAAGCCTGGTTATATACCAGCCGGGAATGGGCAAATTCAGTAAACAACGTCTCGCAAAAGAAATACAACCGAACACAACAAAATCATTAACCGATAGTGAAAAGAAAGACACTTGAGAAAACTGTCACAATACCCAATATTTGGACAACAATCAACGGAATTACCCTGAAGCTGGCATTCAATACAAGTCTTGCAGAAAGAAGAGGGACCTTTGAATGTGCCAACTGACGGACGGACTGTCCCTGTTTATTCAGAGCTGTTATTCTTATTTGTTCAATTTACACGCGATATGAAATTGTTGAATTTGTTTTCTTTTTTCTTTTTCATAACATTTTAATCATGAATTTGACCGCATTGAATGCTTCATACTATTAGCTTGTGAAATTTAGTTTGGTTTGTTTAATTTCGTTTAAATATATTTCATTTTAAACTGGGATCGATGTTTGTTTATCTGTGCCTCCTTACCTCTATGCTTTTTTTGTTATGAATGGTCGATGTGTTTCTTTCTGCTTTAGAAAAAAGTAACCTTGTTGGGATAAATGCTTTATGTGTGTAAGATGTTTAGTGTTTTATTATTATATGGCTGTATGGCTTTGAATGGTTGACTAAATATTCAATGAATGAACTATCACTTTCGTAGAAATAACCCACGGACTTAGATTAATATATCTACTATTCCTTTTCTAGAAGAGGAATACGCAGTTACATAGTATTATATTATCTGTGGAAATACGTAAGTAGATGATTTTAGAATTTAAAAAGAGAAACAGTTAAAAGCCAATGTTGCAATTAGATTAAGCTGTCATAGGTAAAAAACGATTAATGTTTAAAATTATATTAGGATTGCTCACAGTAAAAGATGTTATTAGATATTTATAATAAAGACTACAAGTCGACAACTCTTATCTTAATTTGTTGTGATAAAAAAATATTTCATTTTCAAAAATTAGATGCTATGCATAGTTAAAATGTTCTTTAAATATAGCGCATGTGCCTTAAGTTAAATTTGAGATAGGGTAAAAATTACATATTTATTTTTATGTTAATTGAGTATTGGTAATTTGGGACGAAATTGATAGTATAACAATTGTATAAACTTGTTAATAAGAAACACACACAAGGGCGTTCTGATTATGTTTTGGCAATAACCTCTTAACATTCTTGGATTGTAATAAAGAAGCAAATGTTGCGTTAGTTGGTAGCCTCGATTGGGGAAGAATCTCGACTCTATTTACAGGAAGTAGAAATTTTAGTCTATGGAAAGATTATTCTAACCTATAAAAATGAATCCCAACTTCCCTTTGTCACGGCATCAGGCGTGAATGGCTTGACCGGATTTCGCTAATTGTTTTTTCTTGTGTTAGTTAAAAAAAAAAACGGGTCTATTAAATTTGGCATAGGTATAGAACATAGTCTAACAGGCTAAACATTTACTTTGTTTTTTTTTAAATTCCGCACGGTCAAAGACCTTGGCCAAAGCTATTATAAATTAATAAATAATTAGAAGATTCATTGGTTTCTCAATAAAACGAAAATAATTTTTTTAATAGAAATGTATTTTTTTTCTTTATCACAGTAGCCAAATAATATTATTGAAGCATAGTTAAACATAAAATATAAATTTAACATCTTTGGCAAATGCAAATTACCTTAGTGATACATGTGCGATAAAGTTATTATTTTATTTTAGACAATGTTCGTGATTTACAATAATGATTTTGTACAGTGAAATTAGTACATCTAGTCAGCCTTTATAAGCCTCTAAATTGTTTGGATTGCTAGTATTAACTTAACTAAACTTATATAAAATAATTCGAAAATGGTATTATAGAATTTCAAAGTATATATCGATTTACAACACAAAACAACACGTTAAATTATTTTAACAAGCCTATAAAATAATCTGATTGGTCGAAATCATACGCTTAAAGGAATTACGTCTAACGGGAACGCTTATTATGTCCTAATCCCGTGAAAAATAACCGCTCCAATACGACAAATTCGACAGAAACTTCAAAAAAGAATTTATAACAAATTTAACAAAACATATCTTGAATTCCATCTTCCTGTCGATATTTTTCTATCCAGTTATATTTTAATTAGGGAAGATATTTAACAAAACAGCCATTTAATTGACTTTTTGAAATAATACATAACGGGGTAACAAAATCTTTGGTAGTTATTTGGTTTTCATTACTATAACCGTGAGCTTTCACTACAAAAACCTGTACTCGTCCCTCTCATTACTTTTGAAAACAAGACAGATATAAGTATGTAGCTGTTTGCAATGAGAACCCGCGGTTGTAAAAATCCACGTAATTTATTCTAATTAGCTGTATTGTGTAGATTATACCAGTAAATGTAGCTCTTAAATGTTTACTTAATTTGTTACACTCTCAACCACTAACGTTTCACGTTGTGGCAACATCACTTTTCTATTTTTCACCATACATTCAAAAATACGTTTTTATTTACGATTGCCTCTTATTATTAATTCAAGGAAAAATTCAGAAGTGCTCTTAATATTTAAATAACGTCTATAATCGACTACCGGGCATCAATAGTGGTATTTCCTATTCTAACCATCTATCAAAGAGGTGGAATCTCCTTTTCTACCTCCTTGGTCTTAGGAGACGTCATTGAGAAGGTTCGTAGTCGCGTTCTTGTCAGCGGCCGTAGTTTTCTCTTTCGCTGTTCTCTTTGTTTGGGCGACGTTGTGTCGATGCATGATGTAAAGAAGTAGTACAAAGCCGACCAGGAAGCCGGCAAGTCCGCCGCCTATTGTTAACCATGTTCGTCTTGATGTTTTTATATTTTGAACCTGGAATTAAATGTTATATCTATTAATAAATCAACTAACCGCTTTTTACATCTTTATCTTCATGATTCTAGAGCCTCATTAGAGTAAGTTTACTAATTAGATCACAGTAGTAGCTGGAATGTTCTAGTGTGAATGTTTAGGTAGTTAATTGAATAGTGACACTAGTAGTAACTAATAGTACAAACTTTTTTTTTATTTCGTAGAAAAAGTGATTACCTGTGTATAAACTGATTCGCAGAGATGATAACTAGCGTTTAACGTAGCAGATATTTCTGGCTTTGGACAGTTGTCGAATTCTGAAAAATATACAAAATGTCTATTATATTATTGTTGGAAAGTCATTGAATCTACTCGATGTTATCTAATTCCAATGATATAATAGGTTAAAGTTCGATTAGATTAAATATTGTTGTCATTTGAATTCCGGTTCATTGTTAATGTGTATATAAATAACAAATATCAATTAATTAATTTATAACAAAAAAAGTATAACACTGACCTCTAGAATTCAACCTGTTGTAATCATTTAGATGGAAATAAACATTTTTCTCTTGAAACCAAATGACGGTCGCTTTTAATTCGCACAATTTTAATTTGTCTATGGATTCTGTTAAATCCACTTTAGCCAACTTGCACATGGTACTGAAGTGTTGAGGTTCGAGTGTTGTTAATGGATTTTGCGATATATTGTAAAGAACCAAATTGGGTAGAATACCCCAGTCTGGCAATTTATCTAACTTACAATCTGACAGGTCTAATAGTTCCAATGGTGCTTGTATTGGCTTCGTTATAATCAGATCTTTAAAGCTCATATGTAGCAATGGATTTCCGTTTAAATATAACTTTCTTAATGATGGCAGCTGGAATAATGAATCTGGTAGTGCTAGGATAACATTTTTCGATAAATCCAAAGTTTCCAGATACGATAGTGAAGCGAATGCATCTTTATCGATCATATATATTTGATTTTCAGACAAATATAGGAATTTTATGCTGGAGTACGAAGACAGAGTTTCGGCGTGTATTTCTAACAACTTGTTGTCACTGAAGTCGAGAATCTGTGGAATGAAAGAAGAAATTTGATTAGTTACAAGGTTTCTATACTCTGGTAAGAACAGTGATCACTTTGCACGAGATACTTGGGTAGATTAATCGATTGCCCATGTAATACGAAAAATGACACAAAGGTGTATTGAATCCGTGCTATCAAGATTATAAGCATAAAATAATTTAGTTAATCTCTTAATCTTAACCATCATGTAAGGAAATGTATACAAAAGATACCAACTCATCATAGTTCTTACTATTACGTTTTTAGGTTACTATTTTTTTTTAATATTTTAAAACGACATTTTAGGCTATGCACACATTATTGTTGTTATAACCGACATTATCTTTGTGAAATGATGTGACAATACGGCCAATTAAAACACACGTTGAAGTATAATGAGGAAAGATAAGATAGCTTTTGAGTATCTCGATAAGGTGCGTAATCGTAGCGGCTTTTGTTATGCTGTGGTGCGAGCGAACACTCAAATAAAACCCTTGAAGGAAAACAAATACAGCAATAAAAATAACTATTTGATAACATCAACTGCATTGGTTGGTTATACTGATGTACATTATTTTTCTTTTTGCACTAAAGCTAAGGTAACCAAATTTTTCTGTTTCCTTCTATTGTGTTTAGTTTACAGCATTTCTATTTGTCGATATAACACAAAATTTTTCACCAGTCCGTGAATTACTAAGTTTATGGTCCGAGTTAGTAGCAGTTGTGATTAACATACCTCAATGCCGCCTCTCAGCGAAGGAATCTTGGTAAGTCGTAGACCTCCGCAGTGAGCTCCGAGCATATCGTAGGCATGTTCATATGTGCACCGCGTTGGCGCTGACGCCAGCACTTCTAGGTCCGTCAGTTCCTTGCATGACACGGTTAACACCAACCCCAGGCAGATGATGTACGATCTACAAAATGTAATACTTAATTTAAATATTTGTTGTACGTTTAGGTAATTTCATATTTAGAAGCTTATTTGAAATTTCTTTTAGGTTTCATTCGACGGATTTTGAGGATAAATATACAACAAGGTGACAATGTGCGTTTGTTATAACGCAAGATCGTTTTATTGTAACAGAATAAAGGGTAGATGACTTTACGGAAGTTTTGTATTAATTACTAGATACTTTATTAAAAGGCGAGACATTGTAAATTTTAAGTTTCTAATGATACAAATTAGGATCTATACTTAATAACGTTTACTTTACTATTGTGTTTTAAATATAAATAGTACATTTAGTTAATAGATATATAGATTTACTGTTAAGCAGTAGCTTAACAAGAATTAAGGATAGATTAGATTTCTAATACTTTTAAATCTAAGCAAATGACTGATTACTATTAGTGATAAATAAAGATTCATTAAAAATATTGTTATTAGAAAATTAAAATTTCGTTTAGATAAGATAATTGTAAGTCTATGATTTTGTAATACAATAAACCAGAAGTCAAGAATCAAATCTGGGTCTTCAAATTCCAATGCAACACATCGATTGCCTACTCTATTTCATGATGCTTACTATTATGGTATTTTCGCCTGAAACTGCTATAAGGTGCTATGGTATTGTGCGTTAACCGGAACGTTAGTATAGTTCACAATAAAGTTGATAATAAATATAATTAAATTGCTATATGAAAAAAAAACTCCAAGATATTACCGTCAAATGACTCGATTATCGCAAAAGTTATATTTGGTAATGTTATTAAATAATTAATATTTAAAATAATTATTATATAACTACAGTAATCAAATATTTACTGTTCGTCGGAGGTCTTTAGATCGAGTACTGAGCTTGTTTCTTGAAAGAGGTTATCGTTGGACCTTTGGTCTTCCAAGTAAACTTTATCTTATAGGTAAATACGAACAACAATAAACTGCTTGTCATTTATATGGATAAATGGGAATATTTATCCGTTTACAAATACAAAGAAGCTTTTCTAATTAACGAGTTCCCAAAAAACTATTGTGACAATAAATAAGAACATTTTCAAAATTCGTAGGGAAAAGAGTAACATAATGAGATCCTTACTTTGGCCTATCTATAAGAGTTCCAGCTGAGTTTTCCACATTGGTCACGCACTTACGAGTAATGCAGTGTCAATTGTATGGGATATTTTAATCATGTGGAACTAAAAAAGATGGTACTTGTAGTATTCCGCAAGATTGAATTGTATTAGATATCGTAAGTGGAATTTGTTGCTTAAGTCACGGCCGTATTTCAATTTTTTCATATCTTGCGTTACGAAAACCTTGTACCATACGGTGTTCCCGTGCGATAAAGTATGATAAATTATTGTTTAAAAACACAAACCTACCTAGCACACACGAAAGCAATATATCAAGATGTTATACATATTTCAAATTAAAACAGTTATTAACACTTTCGGTTTAATTGTTTTTGCTTAAATTAATTTTAAACCGAAAGAGAACTGAACCGAGCGCTGATTCGAGGATTTAATAATTAGCACTAGATTAAAATCGAATCGAGTCACTTATGTATTTATCTTGTCTACAAGTGAACATACGTAAACTAAAGTAAAATAAAATACGGGGAATTTCGAAATTAACAACGCACTGATGACAAACCACAGCGAAAAATGTTTCCTGAAAACCCTAGAATTTGCCGCACCTATAATTTAACCGCGTCACATAGTGACATTGTAAAACGCGTTCTTAATGTATTGTCAGCACAGATAATGAAGATAATTGAGGTTAAATTATTTGCAAATTAGTAGGTTTAAAAGTAATACAATAAATAATGTTATAGCGGGTAATGAGTGGAGATGTGATGTGAGATGCGCTTGTTTACGTAACGTCCGTGCAATCACATGTACTAGTACCTACATCAGTAACCTGCACAATACCTCCTGACTTCTGTCAATCATTTTATTATGTACAAATCGGAACAAACGATTCCGTATTCAGTAATAATTAATTTTGTTATTTCGCAAACTTCTGTGATCATAATGAATGTAATATAAAAAATCTATATTCACTCCTTGTTTTAAATAAATATTAATTACTAGCTGCTTGCTAGCGACTTCGATCGCGTGAAATTATAACTAAAAAAATCTAGCTTATGTTACTCTCTGATAACGAGATTAGAAAACTATCTAATGGTCAAGGAATTTTTGAAATCGGCCCAGTAGTTTTTAAGTTATTTCAATACATACAAAAATACACATCTTTCCTGTTTATAACATTAGTATAGATTTAATTTATACCACTCTTAAATTAAGTTTTAAATTGTTGTTATGAAAATCAAAAAGGCAGCGATGTAAATGAAAATTTACCATACCTAATATGTTTTATTTATAATTACCAGAACGCGTTTACTTAAAACTGTACCTAATTCACTGTAATTGACCATGACCTAGATATAACTAAGATATAAAACCTAATATCATAAACAACGTAGAATTTGATAAAACCATCAAGGTTAAGATTCGCAGTTAAACACATGAATAATCGTAAAACATTTCGTACATGTACTCAGCAATAACAAACAACAAACATACTACTATTACAAAGAAAAAAGATTTGTATTTTTATACTAATCATAAGTTAGTTAGTTTTTGAGTTAGTCCTATTGGACTAACTACTGGGACAATTTCAAAAATTCTTTCACCGTTTAAAGGTTACATTATCAGTAACATAGGCCATACTTTTATTATTTTTTAATTTCTAGCGTCGAAGTCGCAAGCAACAGTTAGTATATTAATAAATTCGTAAAGATTTTTCTTAGTAGTTGGAGTTGACAGTAATTTCTAAACACAAACATACATATTTTACTCCAGTAGGGTTTTGAATTGCAAGTCGCAGCGCAAGAGTAGATTGATCCTACCGCTCAATTGGTGTGGTTCTTAGCGGTCTTAATTGTAAAAAGGTCAAATTAATTTCTTTTAATTGACCAACTTCGTCTGACATCGTCTTGATGGAGTTCGCGGAATCGTCACTGTTTAGTCATTTCAACGGATCACTATCACGGAGTCTATTGACCGGATTTTTGTAGGCATTCTTAGTAGTTAAAATAAGTGTACATATTTATTATTTGCACTGTGCTGTCGAAAAGTTGTCAATATGTAAGAGAAACTTGCTTGCCTGTTGTAAATTGTTTTATTTTACTTCTTACTAATATTATAAATGCGAAAGTTTAGATGGGTGGATAGATGGATGTTTGTTAGAGTTTGTAGCCTAAACGACTGAAGGGATCTCGATGAAATTTGGCATAGATGTAGAGGATAGTCTGGAAAAATACATAGGATACCTGCTTTTATTTACTTATTATTCCGCGCGGTTGGAGTCGCGGGTGAAAGCTAGTTATCAATAAATACGTGGTATAAGTTCGGACGTAGTTAATCTTTGTTATATCCTTAAGTAAATTTTAGTGATTACGACATGAGGACTTCAATGATCCATACAGCGGAAGCTGCACATATTGTGAGGGACACTCCTGCGCAGTGCGCGGCGACCGTGGCGGTCCAATTGTCTGATTTATGTTTAACATTCGCCCACCGCACACGCCCCTACTAATGTTAATCATAAGAAAAATATGCGAATGATGCGATATTATAAAGCGATCAATTCAACTTTTGAATTGTTAATAAAAATAATAGCAGTAGTTAATCTTACTAATATTATAAATGCGAAAGTTTAGATGCATGGTTGGATGTTTGGTAGAGTTTGTAGCCTAAACTGCTTTACGGATCTCGATGAAATTTGACGTACTTGTAGAGGTTAGTCTGGAAGAACACATAGGCTACTTACTTTTTTTTAATTCTAAGGGGACGGAGTCGCGGGCGAAAGCTAGTAAATAATATTTATTGCTACAGTTAAACATCTTTTTGTTTAATATCTTAAGTTATTTAAATAAAGCAATTAAACAACAGTCTGGGACGTTTTTAATTAAATGATTATTTACTCAGTTCGTTTTGATTCACGTGGATTAAAAAAATAACGTGTGTCATGACGAAAATATCGATTAGATAAACTTGATTCATTCTTTTTTCTTTGAATATACATCGTGACGTTGTTATCGCGATATTGTTTAAAAGCAAAACTATTTTAATTTACTAAACATTTCCAAATAGTTACAAAGGATTGTAGGTTTCAGCAGTAATGAGTTTTTAAGATTAGTGCAATAATTTTTATGACATGTAAATTTCAATTACGTATACAATGTGTATGTTTAGATGTTGGATTCAACATCAGGCGTAACACTTATTTTATACGAGAAAAATGCCTTTATACGTGAAAAGTCCCAAAACAGCTAGGAAAGTGAAAGACGCATAATGGTGCACCCGTGTTGAGATGGAATTTCTTTGTATCTCATTTCTATGTCCTCGTAAAGCGTAACTAAGACATTTTTCATTTGAATAAATGTGAAATAATTTCTAACATACGTTTCGTAATCAATGCTTGTTGTATTAAAAAAACGTTTGTAATAAATTATAACATATGTAACTAAACAGTATTTATAAAATATAATTGTCACAATTTAATTTAAATTGTTTTATAGTTAATCGTTATCTAAAATTAATTTGTGGTTTGCGGAATCATTACTAATCACTTTGATTGTTAAACAGTAATTTATTCCTTAGTAACCAAATACTATCATAAACTTTGTTAATACTATCATTGTAGTTATATTTTTCCTTACAGTTAAATGCGTTTGATAATATGAATTCTGTTTAATTCAAAGGAACTTGTAGATAACTAAGATTAAGATCCGAAAAATATAAATAATAATAATATTTACCTCTTCATTTTAATTTCCATTTCTTATGTCAAACTGATATCTCATCATATCACGCAAATATGCACATTTTAGACACAATAAGGCACTCTGGAATCGTGAAGCACAGGGCAGTCACATCGACTTACTTCGGGGGCCGCAATCACCGGCGGACGGCACTCGTTCAATTGATTCAATTAGTTAACTGTTGCTCTGTTGTCTCCGCAACGAGATGTTCTTTACTCGGAGGATCAAACGTTACTGTGGCCGCGGTAATCTCTTATCAATCCTTCTTGCACGGACCAAATTCCTATCTAAATAATAAGTAATCAGAAACAATGGCAAGAACCGAATATCTATTATTTTCGTAGATAGGCGCGATATCTGAATGCTCCGATTGGTCAGTTGATTATGTTTGCTCTTGAGACGTTAACGAATTCAATGCATGATAAGTAATGCGTCTCTTTGTGTAGGCGAGTAAATATGCTTGTCAATAATTGAGATAGGGTCATCATCGTAACTAGGTAATTATGCATCTACTTTGTGGTAACGATAATGAGAGAATTTTAGGTCAATTTAAATAAAAATATATCTATTATCGTTTTATACAAACGAACCCATTACTGCAAGGTCATTTTTATAAATTAGATGACAAAATCAAAATATATGTACATGTTATATAAGGTGAATTAGTCTTCTATTAGAAATTTTATATTACGTAGAATTTGCTCAGCGTAACGATAAGGCGTACCGTTATTATTTTTTTTAAATGTCCTCTTTTTATTTTCCCTCTCGTTAGTATTTACTTAGATATACCTTTTACTTTATAATTTGTTTCCAATAAGCTTGGCGCAAGCATCGACGTAAGTTCTATTATCAGAATAGACTAAACGTTCATCTTCTTCTTAAAGCATTTATAAATAAACATACGTCTGAAGGAGCTCCCCTGTCCTTCTCCATCTAGACGGACGTATTCCGACCAAATTAGTGAAATACCATTGCACCAGAAAGCGGCGAGCATGTATTTATAGATGTATGAATGTAGACGAGGTGAGGGTAAGTGAGGGTGAGAAAAGACAGTCCAGAGTGCAGAATGGAAATTCGTAATCTCTGCCTATCTTCAACCTCAAGGACGTGATTTATCTTGTTATTATATTTTGAAAGAAGATAAAACTAAGATAAGTTACTTTGGTATCTACATTATTTATTAGACAATATTAAAATTGGCGCAATAAAGTTCAGAAATTGTTTCAGAGATTTATCGATGTTGCCATTATATTTAATACATCAGATATTATCAGTGACAGTGACAATTTAATTTATTTGACAGATTTAAAGCAGCATTTGCGGCTTTTTGCTAGTGTTTTTTTTGATATCATATCACAGTGTAAACAATTTAAGTTTTACAAATGTAAGAGAACTGGCATTTTAATAACCATGAATGCTGGGAGTTTATATGTCTCCACTTGCCGGCTGATGATATTAGCAGAAGCTGCTAACAAAAGTTCTTGGACCGATTTATTCCGTTTGGTCCCTTATTTACGTCAGTCATTGTCTTGCACAGTTTGTGGTAACCTTCTCGTAGAACCCTGCACTCCTAAGAACTCTACTTGCCAGCACCACGTATGTAAAAAGTGCAAAGGTGGTAAAAAAAAATTAAAACCAACTTGCAATTGGTGTAAAGACTACGAGAACTATTCGGAAAATTTGCATATACGAATACTTTTACAGTGTTATAAGAAGTTGTGTGAATATTTCATGGGTACCGATGTATATAGAGTTTTGCTAGAAGAAGATGAAATTGCTACGGGTGTGAATGGTTCGACAGTAGCGAGCTCTGCATTAATAGATTTAGTACAGGAAGGTGCTGCTTTTAGTGATAATTATGAAAGTGTTGCTGCCTCATCAAGATCTGAGTATAGTATATTACCTTGTGTTTATACAAATACTACATCCACACAAACACAAGGTGCGTCTACATCAAATGGTACAGAAGCAGGAATGTCTAGTAGAGAACCTTCTATTTCAAAGCCAATGTCAAATGGCACATCACTTTATTCTGTAATGTACGCTGGTTCTGGTAACAAAATTACTATAAAACGAAAAGCTGTTGAGGAATCAGAATCACCTCCAGATGAACCTCGTCGTAAAGAATGTAAAGTAAGTATTGTATTAATTATAATAAATATAATTAATAAATTTAATCTAAATGCAATTTTAAGTTACAGTATAAATATAAGTAACATATATAACTTCTGCTTGTTTAGCCATCTCGAAGAGGGGAATCAGGGTTCAAGAAACCATCAAACAAGTCTCGTAGTTCTGCAAGCAAAAGGAAAGGTTGCCGCTGTGGTAATGCTACGGCAACACCGGGCAAGTTGACTTGCTGTGGTCAGAGATGCCCCTGTTATGTTGAAAGTAAACCCTGTACTGAATGTAAATGCAAGGGATGTAGAAATCCTCATAGACCAGATGGGTTAAAGGTATAACACTATTTCTAGTAAATGATAGAGATTATATTTAATACAATTTTATAGACAAAATCTTAATTTTTGTTTGTTCCGTTCCTTGTAAAGTTAATAGTTTCATTTATTGTGGTAACTTACATTCAATGCCATCAACCTGCCTGGTGTATTAACTTAATATGAAAAAATTAGCTTCCACAACTCCATCTAAAGAAAATAAAAAAAAATTATATAGTAGTCTGTGTTCTCCCAGACTATTCTCTACATCTTTGCCAAATTTTATCGATATCCTTTCAGCACTTTAGACTACAAACCCTAGCAGACCATCTACATCCATCTATCCAAACTTTTGCCGTGATTTAGTTAATTTTCTATTACTTAATTTTAGGTACGGCCACATATATCTCCAGTGGAGTCTTTGCAAATAGCATCAAGTTCAAACACGGACACTTCTCCATCATTCTCTAGCTCGATGGACAGTCTAGATACTGACACATTGACTATGGAGGAAATGGAGGAATCCCTCTGCTCAGAACTTAGTTCTGATACAAAATGTAATTTCACAATTTTTTTAATGATTAATATTAAAATTCAAACCAATACTTACTATATATTAATTCCAGCTTCAGTATACTCAAGCCAGTTGCAAATATCACCATCTTTACCGGCCTCAATAATGATGGATGAGGATCAAGATTCACTTGATGATGACGAGAGTTCAGATTACAAATGCTCTTCAGTGGAGCCGAACGACCCTGATGTAGTTTCACCACCATCCGACACTCAGGATACCTACAGCGATATTGAAGTTGATGATGTATGACATTAACTTTCTAGCCTTTAGGATAGTCTAGTATTTGTGCAAGAAAGTGACTGAACCAAATGCAAGTGTAAGCGATTTTGTTTTCAGTGACATAGTTTGTTATACTGTTTTTATTAAGACTAATTGAATCTGAAATGCCACATTAAAATATGATTTATTAAGGGCCTGACCCAACAAATTATATATTGTCTGATAACAATCCAAAATGTAAAATATTTGATGGAAATATCAAATATTGTTACAATATCTGACAGTGACGTCATATTTAAAGTATCTGAGCCTTTATCAGCCAGTGGCGGGACAGCCCCTAGGTGTTTTAAATCCGATTTAGTATTCGGCCGTCAGTTTTCGATATCTATAGCAAGTAAAATGTCTTGGGAAAATTAAAAACCTTTTACACATTCTAATACCAAAGTTTTTTAAAAATCTTTTTAATAAACACTCACACATGGATATAGAATGTTTGTTTTATATTCTTAATATATTTGACAGATTTCTATTGAAAATATATCAATTCTTGATTAATTTGAATGATTAAAAACTTTAGAAAGTGTGCAATAGTTATAATTGTTTAGTAGATTTTGAAAATATATTTAAAATAGTTTCATTGTCATTAATTTTTAATTAGGGTATAAGTTTTATTCTAAAATTTAGGTTCCAATATTTAGTGAAAAGAATTTAATTTACCTATTTTGCCCTTAATTTAATTGAATGAAAAATTGTTAATATATGGATCTTGGTTTTATATTCTTTATGTTTATAACTAACTATGTAAGTTATGTGGCAAGGTTTTATTTACATTGGTAATTATTGGGAATTTTTTATTACCAAAGAATATGCATGCCCTAGAGTTTAAAAACATTATTTAATTATTAATAACAAACCTAGTATGTTTTTATTTTATTTTACACTGCCAAAACACATCCTCAAAAATATATGTAAAAACATCAATGTCAATTTTCTCTAAGAGATTGTAAAGAAAACTATAGTTTCCTGAATATCGTAATTATAACTCTAACTAAAAGGTTTTATGCAATACTGCATAATGCTAATTTTATATTTTAGTTAATAAAGAAATTAATAAGTACTGATGTAAATACTGTGAATTGTTTTGTAAATATTTTGTAAAAAAAATAAATGTGACTGCTTATTTTTATGCTGTGATTGTAATTGTAAAATGAGTACAATAATTCAAATTACCAGAAAAGTTTTGATATTTGACAAATATAACATACCCCCACAATCTTACAATTTAATTGTAAACAATGTAACATAGCCATACTAGTTTTTCTCAGTAATGCAGTTTCTATCAAGAAGCCTGGTATTTTGTATTGATTACAGTGCAGACAATATAATGAAAATCAAAAAGTCCATTCCAATTTTGTAAAATATTGTTTTCTATTTACTGACAGCAACCAAGTATAATAACTAATAAGATCTGTTTAAAGCAACCGTAAAAAGACTTAAGTTTTAAAATGTCAATTATTGGAATATTTATTATTTGGTGGTCATTTGAAAAATCATAGTAAGTTGTTATAGACCTACAGGGATCTTATGACAGTTTTCAATAGCAGTTTTAGATAGCAGAACTTTTCATGGGGTATATTCTTTGACTTTAAATTGTAAGTCAACTGTTGCTATACCTGCAGAATATTATTGATGTCTATTTTCTTATAAAACAGAATGAATGGGATGGTTATAGTTAGCTTGTAATCTTTCTCAATGTGTTAAATGTATATTCTTGTAATATTGCCATTTTTTGATGTGGACCATGATACAAGTTGTTTTTAAAGGTTTTAGATAATTGTAATTTTGTTTATTTAATATTCGGCAAGTTATTGATGTTAGTTTATAAAGTTTTTTAGACGTTGAATAATTTTAATTATGCATATACCTTACTATAGTATTTAATCATTTTTTTATACTGTAAAAATCTACAATAGTTTTCCAGTTGCTTTTTGTAAAAATTAATAATAAACAATAAGAACTTTTAAGTACAAATAGTTGTAAAAAATTAAACTTTTTCATGGATGTGATTTTGTAATTAAAATTTGCTTACAATAACTAATGTCAGAAAATACCATAAATCGGGTGAATGAAAAAAAAAATAAAATTTAGATATTTTTGTTTAATCCAAGACTTTTATTTCAATATTTATATTTCAGGACCTTAACTTTTTAATACACATTTAATACTGTTATTTAATTAAAATCGTTTTATACTTATATATAAGATTTTTCTCAACTCAATTCAACAATTTCTTCAATAGACCATATTCTGTCGAATTCTTTTTTTAAAGCATGAATCACTGTAAAATCAGATGTAAGTAGAGTAGAATCTCTGTTACAATTTACTCTTGATATTTCGTAATCTAACGATCCAAGTACCGCCACTGCATCTTTACATTCATCAATCGCGTCTATGATTATAAATTCGTGTTCCAATTTTGGCGCTAAATTAACTATCTTCACAGCAATTCCTTGTTTCACAAGTCCTTGCACTATATCTTGGTTGTCGGCGTTATACAACACTATTCGTATAACTACACAGTTTCTCTTATGCACATTTGAGAGACATTTGGATATAGTATCACTGTTCAAAGTCGGTAAGCAAACGTCTATTGAACGACAAGCGTGGATTACCACATAGTAAATGCACAACAGATTGTTTGTTCCGATTTCTTCCGACTTTTTATCATCTTCTGCTCCGTAGAAAAGCACCTCGTTTATACTATCACAATGTACACTGTTCTCTGTTTTCAATGTTGTCATAAATGTAACGCATTTCAGCAATGCGGAACCCGTCGCATTAATAAAAGATCTCCAATTGGGTACATTCATTTCGTTGATGTAGTTTCCAATGTAAATTGTTAAGTTTACGACGTTTTAATTATGCAAAGAGGATGACTTACAACACTTGGACTTCTTTTACGGTGGTTATTTTTTTTTCTTAAAAGAAAGGTAAATCGAAATGTCTTATTGAATGACAGCCGAGTTGTAAAACAAAATATAGATTTTTATATTTTGTTTAAGTTTTTAGAATAATTTTTATATATCTTTACGTTGTGAATGTATTTATATTTAATTTAGCGGTTGAAATATATAAATGTACCAATCGAGAGCAAGAAAGCCATCTGCAAATGTACTAAAGCCAGCTGGATTACCTGCACCTAACGATATCAAAGAATGCAGGGTAAACGTTGATGAAACACGAAAACGCAGTAAAAGTAAATATTGTATCCCGAAAAATTTGCGGTACGATTTAGAAAATGCTTTGGTTAATGTATGTATTAAATGTACGCCTTGATAAATAAAATAGCAAAGTTTCATGTATCCAATATCGCTGTGCTATTTTGCTTTTCAGTTGTGCGACGTATGGTTTGAAGAAATTAAGCCGTATTTAGTCCGAAATAATGTGAAAGTACACGTTCAAGATGATGAGGCGAATACAGGATCTGGTGGGAATAATTGTACAACACCTGACGCTGTAAAGCTGACTAGAAACCGAAGCGCTATTCCTGAAAGGACGAATTGCTCGCATCTTGATCCAGGTGCTGCTTCCGATGTACGAATTTCGTACCTGAGATTCAACTAACTTATATCTACATAAATTATATAAACATTTTATTGTACCAATTTATTTACGTTTCATAGGAATGGATTAGAATCGATTTTTTATCTTGGTCCCTTCTAATACAGTTAACCTATTCGCTTCTTTTGATTAATCGTAAGAGTCTAACTACAGACAAGGTTTATCTGTACAATTTATATTGATATAAATGATATTATAACTGTTGTGTGGTATAGCTTCGTCTTCAAGCTGGTGCACACTCTGCCGGCTGTTGTACAACGCGTCATGCGGCATCGAGAGCGCGATCGCACAAGCCGCCGTCGCCGCCCCGCCCGCCGCTGCGCCCGCCGCCGCGTCCGCCGCCGCCCACGTTGCGGATACCGCCGCTACAGTTATCGGAGGCAAGACACGCAAATCCTAATAGCTTCACGAAGGTGCCACATGTGCTCGTTACAAGTGGAGGAAAGCGTCTGTACCTATGTCTTTGTCATGTGCAAATTGCAAGGAAAATTAATTTGAATGCCACTACAGTCTTTTTGAATTCTTTTAGTAACAATACTATCCAGGCGACCTAATGTCTACTGTAAGCCGTATAAGACAAACGGTAACGGCACACAATACTCCACTTTCCTACATCGCGCGTGCGATCAGCAACGCACACAAAAAGTAATTCGCTGCGGAAGAATGTTCGAGCAGCACGCAACAACATTCATTCCTAGTATATGTACTCAATGCACTCATCTGTAGCCAACTGATGCTACAATTTTAAACTTTCACAGCTTATAAAATACACAGATCATACATAATATTGATAATCGACATTCTATTCAGTTTTTTTTAAATAATTCTAAACATTAGCATAAAATATCTTCTACGTTTGATTTGTACCCTTAACGGCTGATAAAATTAAAAAATCTATTATTGAAAAGTTGCTAATTTCACTCTGTCATTTAACTATGATTGTGAATTTAAAACAACTATGAAATACTTAAAATAATTATAACATAAGTATATCTATAGAATTACGTACACATTCGTAACAGCGTACTATGTGTTTTTTCAGAGCCCCAGCAATGAAAACGTAAAGAAGTTGCCAGCTAAACGTCGTGGTAAAAAGAAGAGGCGTTCTAATTCTCCGATAGCGCTCCGCAATCACCATCGAATACCCCGACTGTGCAATATGATGGGTATTAAATCTGAAGCCGCCAAGCTTGCCAGATATTGACTGGCTATCGGTTTTATAAACTGACATGTAAGTTGGTAACCCATAGTAACAACTCTTGCGACATAGTATAAAAAGTCTGAGTGTGGCGGTTAGTATTGCCCATTTGCTTTGTTTTACAGACTTATGTTACTTTCACAAAAATGAAACTTTTTAATCTTCTGCTTCCATATTCATTAGGTGCATCGGTCGTTGATTTTATGACTATTTATCATAATGCTTTAAAATTTTGTGGTTTATATGGTTTACAAGTTGTAAAATTCAAAGCCAGAGTTTGCGACTTTAAAATTTGCCAATTATTATTTCTTAAATAATGCTTATAGCTCTTCGTTTTCTTTTGATATTAATATTAATTTCCTTTTATCTATTAGTAAAACTCTTATTCTATTACTAAAATAAAAGTGAATTCTGGGTTTATTGTTCACATTTTGAAATATATGTTTTATTTATAATTAAAGTTTTCTTTTCGATTTCAGGTGAGTAAAGTACTGCGGCAAATTAATGAAAGCTTCTAAATTAGAAAACAATATAGACGACAAATACATTTACGTTTTTATCATTTTGTAAATATAAACTAGTATATTTTTCTGAATAAATTCTTATTTTCATGATTTTATTGTGTACGTTTTATTGCGTTTCTAGTTCACAGATACATAACTATTTATTGACTATAATTTTTTATCGGACAGTAAAACAGTTTTGCCAAAGAAATTTACTTAGGTGTATTGTTTGTAATTAAAGTCTACGTAGATCTTATTGCCATGACAAGAACCGCCAATAATATTACCACCTTGGTATACCCTGTTCAGTATATTCTTGTATCTTTACCCCACAAACAATATGAACTTTGTAAATATGCATTTAAACTCGATCTTTATTTAGGTATCCTAATTTGCTTACACGCGAGAGCTTCTTTTTATTCATAGTTTTATGGCTAGAAAAAGTTAATTTGCTAAGTTTCACCTACATTTAAGTGAGACGTGAGACTATAATTGTCTTCTCTTCAATAAGACAATGCGCTGTGCTTTCTCATAATTCAGCCAATTAGCGTTGCAAGGTGCATAAGGTTTGAGATTTCGCATCGCTATCCGCGCAGTAAACCTGGAGATAAAACTTTATTGCTCAAGTGCAATGTCAGAGAAATTTTCATGTAAAATTAAACGAACAAGAAACAGCCGTGTAGTAATCAATCTGGCGGTTGCTGCATGTGCAATAAATCTATTGCAAATGTTAATTTAATAGCAGGATCTTCATCTACACTATGATTCGAAATCTGCGTTTGCGACAGTATCTTTTATTGCTGGATTTATTAACGTTTAGTGACAACGCTTAATTTCTGCCGTAATATCGTAGTGGAAAGGAACATAAATAAATCACGACAATCGCACACGACACTTTTAATTGGTACATAGCTTAAGGACTATTTTTCCTTACTTACGACTCTTTACAATATTACAACAAACGCATCGACTATAACGGCCGTACAGGGAGTGATTTTCACACGAATAAAAATAATTTACAAAAAAGCAGTCGAACATATACATCACACACTTTAAATAACTAAATAAATAACTCGCACGCTGGCGCGATTCGATCGCGACCGCGGCAGCGCGGCGCCGCCCGGCCGGGGCCGAAGCCCGCACGCTCTTTGGATCCGAGAAGAGTTTATGGAACGTCCTTGCGTCACACCTTATTCCCCTAATTCGTATGCTTCACGTAATCCGTTTCGTAGTACGCGGGGGCACCGTGCGCCCCTTTCCTGTCCAGCGCGCGAACACGCACGAAGAGGAACGCTGCCACCAGCGACGCGACCACCAAAACTAGTAATAACATCACCAGACCCGCCACGAATGACGGCACAGACATACAGATCGTTTCTGGATCCGTCGCGGGCGATTGGATAACTACCGTTTCATTGGATGCGGCGTTGTTTAGTGCGAAGTTGACGTCTCCCGGTGCCACCACCTGAATTATTCTACTCGTGTTCACGTCGGTCATCTCTTGAGCGTCACGCTTGTATATTCGTACAGGGGAGGATGTTTCACGTCTCCTCCTGACTCCGACTAATCTCTCGGGCAAATCTTCTACAGACCTAGGCCGACCGCCTAACGTCGCAAGATTGCCGTGACCCTCGTCTTTCCTCTTGACCGTGTTGTACACTCCGCGACGGCCCGGTGGTGGGGGTGGAGGTAGATTGACTTCGTCGTCTTCTCGTGTCGGAGCCGGTGACGACGGGCTGGGTGCATTTGGCGTTGAAGATACTTGCACCTGTGGAGCCGGTACGGCATCGTCGCGTTTTTCTGAGAATGAGCCAGTAGCATCTGCCGGATGTCTAGGATCGGGGAAAGCTGCGGGCGGCACTCCGTATTCGCTGTGCGGTGCCGATGGCGGGGGGCCATATTCGGCATGAGGTGCATTCGGTAAGCCATATTCGCCGGCGCTCAGGGCATTACCACCAAGCAGTGGCACTCCATAGTCGGCACCCAGTCCGCACTTGGGTTCGGGACAATTGTATCGGCAGACTTGGATCACACACTGGAAATGAACGTTCATCGAATCTGGGAACTTGAACGCTTGGAAGTATGCAAAGGATACCACTGAGGCAGACGGTCCGAAGTTCTTGATTTTTTGGAATTTGCTCATGATCTTTGGTCGGACCACACATCCATATTGATCAACCAGTTGTATAGGAGCTCGTTTACCATCATGGGCGACACAGTTACGGACTAGCATGTCGAATTTGTTTTCGTCATCTTTTATTGCAAGAACCATGGTCATCGTTTGCCCGATTTTGACAATCCCAGATACTTCGGAGGCCCAAGGTCCCTTCCCCACTTGTATTTGCATCCAACATTGTAAGTTGTCTCCGAGAAAATTTGCCGTAACAGCATGTAACATATCAACTTGGAAGGGCCTAAATGTAACCGCTTTTTCGTAGAAATCATACCAAGTACAGCGCAATTTTCTGGCCTGATCCCAAACTTCTTGCACGTAAGGATCGTATTGGACAATGATCGTATTCTCGACGTATGACCCGCTGGGTGTAGGGCTGCCATATGTTGCGACATTGTGATTTGCAGAACTTGACATACCACATCGGTTTAGGAATATTTCAAAGGTGGCACTCAGATGGCCCGTCCCTGGCTTCAAGTGCATGCAAGCAGGGTCGCTGTAGAATCCCTTGGAAAATATCATACCGTAGAAGGGTCGATCGAATTCGATGTTTACCCGCATGTGTGTTTTCTCGCATTGTACCTGCAGATGTTTAATTTTGGGGCTATCCGGTGTGGCCAGTGGCCAGGGATCATCGCTGTGTGTCGGCGCCAGGGGCGGGCCGTATGCGCCGCCCGCCCGGTGCTCTAGAGGTAGCGACGCGGAGTCCACCGGAGGTTCGCATGATGCATCCTGAAAACGAAATTTATGTATTTATTAAATTTACGATAAAGTATTGTTTTGCCCCAGGTATAATTACTTTTATAGGTTTTCGGATATCGCAAGTGTTGTACTGTCTAAAAATGATATTGTATGTGAAATTTCGCTTTTGCTCTTTCATGGAAACTTATTAAAGGCTTGCTAGCGCGGGTGCAGGGTGATGTGAGATAGCAGCGCTCAGAGCACGCATGGCTGGCCGCGGAGGAGCACATTCCTCACGACGTCGCAGTCTACTTCGCACCACGCGACGGCTGAGCCGCGCCGGCCGGCCCGGCGCTGCTTACCGACTTTCTACTCTGACGGATGGTAACCAGTAATTAATATATTAATCAGCGCGGGCAAGTCTCGAAGTTTTACTTGAAAATTAAAAATTATCTTGTTACGTTTTTGAACAAATAAATTATTTTCACACTTGGCATACTAAATGATTTCTAACTCCGTCATCTATATCGTTTGGATTGTTTTGTTTTTATTTTAATCTATGGTACTTATATGATAAGACTTCACGTGAATAAAGCCATCTTAATGTAAGATGTGCCCAGAATTTAAAATTGCTACGATGATTTTAAATAATCTACCTAGTTAGATTCGTAATATATGGAGTGAGAGTTGGACCCAGTGCGCGGACTTGTGCACGTCTCAGAGGATCGACAAGTGCGGAGTAGTAACACGGGAGCGCGGACGATCGCATTTTCTAAACCGGTTAGAAATTACCTACTGCTCGATATCTGTTGCGGAAGAAAACGCCGGACCTTTGCCGATAGACGGCTTTCTTTATAGGCAAAAATAGCATTGAACTTACTATTGCAATCGGAAATAAAAGCTATTCGTTTAGCGTTAAAAAACTAACAAATCTGAGCATAAAGTATTACAAGTGTACATATTTGTAAGTACACATGTACCGCTCTTTGAATCAAGTTCCTAACCGTTGTTAAGATAGCTTTAAACGTGAAGATAATCTTTACAATATAGATGTCACGGCTTAGACATAATGGTTACACGCGTTTAGACTCGACGGACCACACAACCTCTAAACTAATAGCTTTTACGCAAAACTATGCTTTAATTCGATTAGGTAAATACTATATTTGATCATCATGACTTTATCAAATATGCCGCATCTAAATAACAACGGTGTCCGTCATCTAATGACATTTACTAGATATCTGCCTGCCACTTATGAATTAATTAAAGCATAAAGAAACCGGAAATCAATTCATTTTTTGCTCTCACTGGAGTCAAATGTGCTTTTATTTTTAAAATTAAAACAAAATTATGTCAGATATTCCTATGTGCTATAGTTAAATTACTTCGTTGTTTATGTAGGAAAAATGCTCATGATTTCACTGGTGCGTATATGAATTAGTCATAATAACGATGTTATACTTAGTCAAAGTTTGTTCACATAAATTGCTTGACTTAATCTAAAAAAAAAGTTTGCTTCGTGTATTTTTGCATTCTGAAACTTTTAAATATAATATGGTTGCAGTATCTTTAACATTATATTTGTAAATTGTACAAACTCGGTAATTGTGACAGGTTGTACACTCGGCTGAGCAATGTGTATACCTCCTCCCCCCGCCGCACGCGGTGTGCACAGAGTGACAGGTGACAGGCGCGGTCAGCCCACAGTCGC